GATACAACACCAACGCGAGACACTTCAAGACATTAGCCACGCACATGGTGAGTTGGTGAAGGCTTTATCTCGCAGCTCAATGCGCTATACACCTGGGTTCCACAGCGAGGATTTCTTCGATCGGTATTCCAACATTGGAGGACCGGGTGGCCCGTCTTTCAGTTTCGATGCAGCCAATCTTCGCCTTGCAGATGTTGCAGTTGACATGGGTGCTGGACCAACAGCTGAGGACACCCTCCGAAACAACGATGGACTACAGCGACCGAGTCTCAAGCGCAAGAATACGGCTCCACCAGGACCTATCAACCGGAGACGACCTGACGTGAAGGTTATTTCGAGCCTCGCACCCTCTGCGTCGGGACTACCTACTCCAGGCACTGCTCGACGATCATTCTCGTATACGTCGGGAGGGATGCCGCATTCATCGCCTGGCCTCCTTGCAACACCAACCTCAATCCCGACCCATCACGAAAACCAGGAGATGTACACTATGCATGACCACATGGGTGGTGATGCATCCGCAAACAATGCTGCAGTCGCGGCGGCAGCGGCAGCAGGTTTCACCATGTCACCCACGTCGCATGCCGTTTCATCTCATAACATGCACCCAATGGGTGGCGCACCTTTCAGCCCACCTTACAGCTATGGCTCAGGGTCAAGCATTACAAATGCTGGACCAGGTATGATCAATGAAGCGAACGGAGGCTATGATGCTATGTTCGGAACAGTGCCCACCAACGCCTTTGGCAGCCCAGCGGCGTGGCACGGCGATGACAGCCATACCAAGATGCACCTCAATCAGATTCGACCGGCAGCGACGAGCCCTGGAGCGCGAAGCAACAATGGCAGTACTGGAACAGGCCCAGGAGAGGAGAAGGACCCATTCCTGGCTCTTCTTGAGCAACTGGCCGAGAATGAAAATCGATCGCAGAACGGGCATGGAGGCGATCTTGACTTCTTCCTCGGTAACTCAACCGTCAACCCTTGAGGGCGGCTGAGATAGGACAATATTTACTTTCTTTCTTGTATCTCTTCTTTTTGTTACGATTGTTACTATTCATGTACATAGATAGGAGGAATAAGTCGCTGGGCGATGCGCGAAGGACGCATAGCTCAGGAAGCTCAACGCGGCAATCGGAATTGGACTTTTGGGCGCAATGGAAACTTTCAGCATTTACAGGCGAACGGGAAGGTTGAGTCAATGGATGTTTCATGAGGGCGGGATCCTTGTCAGACAACGAACTGGTACGAAGTACTTGAAGAAAAGCATTAGCCACTGTATATTAGAATAGCTTGGAAACATTGAACACGAACAGAGCAAAATGAAATAAAATATTGTAAACTAGTAAATCTGGGGTCTATTAATCGTTGAGTGATTATTTCCACTACGAGTCAGTACAAGCAGTGAACTAACAGTGTAACGAGTTAGAGGCTCGTGGTTGTCATTGAAGATTCGGTAGAATAAGCTGGCCCTGTAAACTCTAAGGAAACTTTTCAGGGTTGGGATTGGAGCGCATGGTTATTTGAGTGATCATCAGCCCAATTGCCATACCCGGTACGTACCTTGGTATGTGAGAAGGATGGAAGAAAGACATGACAATGGTAACCTAGGTACCTACATACCTTAAGGTGGTAGTGCTAGCATCTCATGTGGTAGTAGAGATGGCTACGTACCTTAGATCGGGTTGCTCTGACAAGTGTGAACTTTGAAAGAAGCTTCCTTACTAGTGCCGACGGGCAAGATCTCTCTAACGGTGTTGCATTGCCAGGATCTGGGATCAACTGATTGACGTCCAATGGAAGTGGAGCCGGAACTTGAGACGATTGATTTCTAGGGAGCCTGGGACGTGTGAATGCTTCATGTGGCGGGTGGGATACGATTAAGCTTAGCGATTGGCTCGACCAACGGGCACCGGCCCGCAGAGCCACAAACCACGGGTTCGTCCCAAACGGGACCTGATAGCGAGATTAAGCAGGGTCTAGCATGCAGGACAGCGCACTAAAGGTATAGTCGGGTGCATAGCATAGCATAAGGTAGTGTCGGCCAACTAACCACACTATGCAAACTCCTTATGCACCACTAAATGCTGTACGGTGACAGACAGTTCGCATAATATCTATGGAGATTGCGGGATGTGCCGTCCCGGGAGAGATATTTTTCTTTTTAAATTTCTTGCTAGTGTGCAAAGCACTTATTATAAGCGTAGGCCAAGCATAAAAGTATCATGACCACTCGTGAAACTCTCATGTTTGATCCCTCATGATAACTAACATACGCACGGTGGCGATCGTCACCAAAAGAAGTTGTAGCTCTGGCACTGGACTGTTTTACTAGCTCGAGTCACCGTTTCTCTATATGTACGGTTTCTCCCTACTGCAAAGACACTTTCTTGCCCAATGCTAAACTGTAAACAATGTTTGGAGCACTGTCAGTTGAACCTGTAACATGTAGAGTTTATACGTGTGCTTTCTATAAACAAACGCCTTGTCTGTTATGGCGTCATGAACTGACATACGTAAAACTTCTTGAAACATCCCCTAAAGTATCCAAAAATACTTCAAACTCTAAACAAACAGACACCGCAACGTCAACCTCTATCTTGATAATTCAACGCCTTCGCCTCACGCTTCACCGACACCCTCGTTCTCAGCTACAACAGCCCTTGCTGCTTCTTCACCTGGCTGCTCATCTTCCCGCTTATCGTCAGGTGCTTTCTTTCCTGTCAGGGCTTGAAACAAAACGACCACGACACCCAGCGTGGCCATGGCCTGCCAGACGCCTCTCGTAGCGCCAGCATAGCCTTCTATCGCAATGTTTTGCTCTGCCGGACTCAAGTCACCGCCGTGCACCAACCCTGGCGTGTTAATCAAGCTAGACACCAGTCTCTGTCGAGCATGACTCAGATGCTCACCACCGTCCAGCTGGAGGAATCCTGACACCAGATTACCCCTGAGTAAGCGGTAGAAGATACCGCCGGCCACCGCAGTGCCGAAACTTGAACCCGAGCCTCGGAACGTACCCAGTAGACTGGTGGCGATGTATCGGGTATCATCATGGCTGAGGTGCAGAATATGCGCAAGGGTGTAGTTGACTCCTCCACCCGTCGCAAGGCCGTTGATCAGCACGACTACGACGAAGAGAGCAAGAGGAAGACTCGTGGTACTAATAAGTGATAGTACACAGGTGCTCATAGTGAAGATGGCAAGGGCTGAAATGGACGGGAGCCAAAAAGCACCGTCTCGGCGCACATGAAGCCAGCCGACGAGGATGCCACCCAGACCAAATCCTATGTTTGTAGGAATGAGGATGGAGCCTGCAGCTGCTGGAGAAGAGCCTCGAACTGCAAGCATGAATATAGGCGCGTAGAACAAAACGCTCCAACGGGCTATCATGAGACCTAGCTGTGCGAAACATGAGAATAAGATACCCCATGAAGAGAGAACCTTGACGGGTATGATGGGATCTGCTACCAGGTAGTTCTCAACTGCGAGGAAGAGCAGAAGGATGACGGGTGCGATACACAGGGGTATTGTTTGGATCTCATCGGCGATTGCGTAGAGAAACAGCACGATAGACGTAGTCTTGAAGTGTGAGTTAGTCACGATTCTGTGTGAGAGAAGCATGCGAAGCTTACTAAAAGACCAGCCCCAAGATAGTCGATTCGCGCGAGCTTCTGTCTAGTAGAGGTCTTGGTATCATGTGCTTCTGCTGCAGCGGGTATACTGATAAATACTCCCAAACCTGTGGCGAAAGCGAAAGGGATTTGTCCCCAGAACAGTGGCCTCTATGGCTGGTTAGTCACTGCACCGAAAGTTCTCAGTCCAAATGAGTTCAACGTACCCATCCTACAACTGGCATCAGACCCCCGAATACGATAGCACCAAAGGAAACACCAGCAGTAAAGCCCGCGTTAATCAAGCCTAGCACAAGACCTCGCGACTTCTCGCTGGCCAACTCCAACCCAATAATAATGGCGAGTGACAAAACTCCAGCACCACCTGTACCTGCAATGACCCGGCCAGCAACAAATGTACCAAACGAAGTCGAGACGGTACAGATCAGTCCACCAGTGGCTATGAGAACCGCAATGGGGAGAATAAGAGTCCTGGGTGGGAAGATGGTTGCCAGGCGCCCTGCTACAGGAGCGAGAGAAGACATGGGAATGAGGTAGGCACTGGTGAACCACATGGCAGATGAACCGTGGGAACCAAGTTGAGATGCAATGGCGCCCTGAATCAGAGTCATACCAGACATATTACATGCTACAGATGATTCAGTAAATCGTGAAATTTACAGTAGGAAAGTCGCAGATGATGAATAACCTCTTACCTGTTAAGAAGATGAGGAGCCACAAGCTCACTCCTATCGCAATTCCCCTCGCAAGTGGGATGTGGACTTTGGATTGAGTCTCAACATGACGAGAATTGCTATCCTTCTGCGTACTCAACCGTACTGCCGAGCTTGATCTCGAGCTTGAGCTTGACCCAGCAAGCAAGGGCGTCTCCTCTGAAGTGAAAGGCGTGTCGTCGCGAGGGTTAGAGGACGGACCCGGTGCGGCGCTGCCGGAGCCGGAAGTCTGCGCCGGAGAATGCATGACAATCGGGCTTAACGAGTGTGACAGGATCGCTAGAAAGTCAATACTATTACATGATCTAAGGATAACGAGGAGTGCGTTGTTGTCTGAATGGTTTGGGGGAATGACGTGTGTTACGCCATTGCTGTCGCCATGATCGGTGATGACGTTAGTGAAGGGTTAGGTGATAACGCCGGGCGGGGATCGGAGACCGGAGATCTGGGGGTTCAACGCCGACAACGGATGCCGACTTGAATCGGAGGGGCATTTGGTTCCGGGGCCGGGAGGAAAGGCTACAGTCACATAGATTTAAGGAGGAAGAATTTGTGCAACGGCGTGATTAAGTCTGATTTTTTTGTAATATGACTTTGTTCGGAACACGCACTGGTAAGTAGCTTCGTACAGTATAGTTATCTTGGATGAGATGAGCTTTCCGAGGTGCATGTATGCTCAAAGTGAATAGTTTGGTTTCATGAAACAATTTAACTCCTTTCGCTTTCAAGTGATCTCCTCTAGCAACCCCCTTGAATTCTGAACTGAAAAGGCAACAATGCTATGCAGTTTTTCCAACTCCAGCTCATATTGAGATAGGCAGTTCAAAATACGGTGGAAAGACCCTGCGTCTGCATCGGTTACAGATCCTTTGTGCTACTGCAAGAATGGGGAGCTCAATTAACACGACAAAATGAGCAGAGATTTGACGTGGCAGCTAAGTTGGCCCAATGGCATAAATCGCTTGAATGGGAGCTCCTCAGTGGATAACAAGGTGATGATCTGGTGTCACTCACTAATAAGCACCGCCATTTTAAGGGAGCGCCAAAATGAGCTACACGAGGGACAGTCAAGACCAAAGACCAGTCGAGGCCATGCCATGCGGGCATTATCGGTTAGGCTCGTGATCAACGTGCGTCTTGGCTGCAGATGTTGATATTGGTTGAGTATTCTTGTTGCGGTGAGAAGCGGAAATGATGGCTGAAAACTGAAAACCGAAATCTGAAATCTGAAATCTGAGAATCAGCTGAAGTGAAGTGACGGTCAATCAGTCTTGATGCACCCACAGACCGTTTGCCTAATGGCGATGGCGGGCCGACGATCAAGGCTTGGTGAAAGCTTGTCGACTTGTCATGCCTTGCCATCCTTGTCAAGAGACATGACGTATGATCTTCAGCTTTGAGTGAATGAGGATAAAACAAGAGAACCAGAGGAGCGACGGCACGACGGCGCGGGCGCAGCATGGAGTCTACTGTGTGAACAGACTGCTATCACTACCTACCTATTCACCACAGAGAAAATAAGCGTAAAGTGGCTTGAGAACTGGAGAGCAATGAGCAACCATTGCCAGTGGAGCGATGCTCAAAAGTCGGACAACAGCGGAGCCGCGGCAATCAATATGGGGAAATAAAGTAGGCACCGAGATTCTTTTCCAGCACTGATGGTGTTGTCATTCTAGCATTAGGAAACGGTCTTTTGTGTATTGTATTGTGTCGTGTTGTGTTGTATTGCAAAGAATCATCAGTTTTTGGATGCAGACTCTTGAACTTGAGGGAAGTAAAGGCCCGACCGAAACAAAACTCATAATCAGAAACCATCCAATTGAGGATGAGAATCCACGCAACAGTCGCAAATAGCGGTTGTGCGCGAGTTCAGGAGAGGACGGGAAGGAGACTTGGAGTGTGATGATGATGACGATGACGATCCAATGGTGTATCAATTCCCCCAATGGAAGCCACTACGTAGCGCAACTTATCGCTCAACCATTCATCACGCGCCAATGTCATCTTCCCCTCAATTCCGTGCGCGGCATTTTTTAGAGGATGCTACCGTCAAAAATCATTCGCCTAATCAAGCGACCGAACTGAAGGTAAAGACTAAAGTTGTCTTTAGCTTAGCTGAGCAGCCAAGATTCAACCAAGACCCTGCCGAGACAGAGAATTGGATCTGCTTTGAAGAGATTTTCTTGCATGATTTTTGTCTTATGCAGGTCTCGATGCAACGGACAACGGACCGCGCCAATAGCTACCTAATAATCAATGGCTAAAATAATAACAACCTTCATTTACCCTCACCGGAAATCAATGGCATTGGATCTGTTCAAGCTTAGACCAATAGACCAACAGAAAAGCCATCAACCCCAGAATTACCCAACGACTCGAGTCACCTGACAATCGAGTACCCGATTAGTCGGTAAATTATCCATTGACTCGTATGCAGTGCGACCTGAAGGGACTTGACTTTCATAACTCAGTCAATTGAGTTGAGCTGCCGTCTCCCGACTCCCCAAGACCTCGTACTCATACGATTTTAGAGTAGCCTGAGCTCTACCAAACTCTTGTCCCCTCTTATACTCCAATCTTCACCGTTTGAATCGAACTGCCTCTATGGAATGCCGTTGTAAAAAGTATCCACATCGTTGGGGTGTCGACTCTTATTTAGCCTCATGGTCCAGCGCTCCCAGCTCCACGGTCTCCCGACTGCCGGCGGGGCACCTCATGGATCCATTGGCTGGCTCACTCTCACCCACTCTTCGGTGGCTGAGATACCCGCTAAAGCCGCTAAAAAAACTCACCCCGGTTTTTTCTCTCCGGCGGGTTTTGGGGGGCTTGGACCTTGGACACAACCACTTTTGACGATTGACCAGAACCTGACCTGGCCTGGCTTTTCTTGCTTGTTCCTTCTACAATCAAGAACTAGGACAAGCATAAACTTGACAGGAAGGGAAGGGACACATATTTCTTTGCTTCTTCTCGGTTATTAGCAAAGTCTTCAACAGATTATCTTGTCTTTCCTTTTTTTGTCGCTTGTTCATCTCTTCCTAGGCATCTCATCATCCCCCCGGTAGGCACATCCCGACGGGAATACGCCGCCGCAGTACGCCGAAAACCAGACAATATCCGCCATCTGACAGCCCAGCACGGGCAGCCACGATCCCAAGGTTACGTTACCTGCCCTGGGCTTATTAGCCTTTGGTAGCCTCTACCCGCCAAAACTCGACTTCCAACCGACTCTTCTGCCGATCCAATTTCATCCTACTCTCCCAGTAATCTCCCGAATTCAACCCCGATATTCTAACATCGAACCTTCAAAGACATGGCACGCTCATCAAGGTAGCAACGGCTCCAACTTGTCAAGCCAGCCTCGATCTCAGCTTCACACCCAATTTCACGAGTGACGAGTCCATGTCTCTTCCAATTCCGTCCTCGATATGTCCGACTCGGCCTCCACCGACGATGGAGGCATTCCCGATCGTGGGCCGGTCGTCTTCGCCGTTACAACGGCCACTCTCGTCCTCGCTACAGTCTTCGTCGCAGCACGAATGGTCTCGCGGACCTTCATTGTTAGGAATGTCACCTGGGATGACCGCGTCATGATCCTCGCATGGCTCTTCGCCTTCTTCCTCTCCTTCACCATCTGTTTCGGCGTTCACAATGGCCTCGGACGGCACGACGAAAACATCGACCCGAACCGCTTGCCTGCCCTTCGCCGTTGCGAATATGTCTTTTCCATCCTGTACAATCCCGCGTTGATGGCCACCAAAACCTCGGTACTCATATTCTACCTCCGTTTGGCCAAGCACACCCAAAGAGTCCTTCGATTTGCCTCTTGGTTGACACTTGCGGTCGTCAATATTGCTGGTGTTATTCTCACCTTCATGAATGTTTTCCAATGCCGCCCGACCCAAGCCGCCTGGGATGTTAACTATGACGAACGCGCGAAATGTATACCACTACTTACTGAGTTTATATGTTCTTCACCCGTCAATATCGTTACGGACCTGGCCATTCTCGCTCTACCTATACCTGTCCTCACCGGCATGCGCCTCCCTTCTCGCCAGAAAACAATTCTGGTCCTCACCTTTACCGTTGGAATATTCGTTACCGTTGTCGATGTGGTCAGAATTTACTACCTTCAGCAAGCCATTACAGCACCAACCAGTACAACTGCCGATCCCCAGTCTCGATTTGGTGGGCAGACCGACTTTGCCTGGAATGCTTCGCGTTCGCTTATGTGGAGTGCCGTTGAGGTTAACGTTGGTATGATGTGCGCCTGCGTCCCGACATTGAAGCCTCTGGTCCTCAAGCTGCTCCCCTCCATGCTCTACGACCCCAATGGAACCCGCGCCAGTACACCCAAGGGGCCCAACGATTCAGATACGCCGTCAACGGGCCATCGCGCCAGTATTCAACAGCCCCCTCCTGTCGCGCAAACCGGCGCACAGCCTCTCAATGCTAATGCTCCCATGAGCGCGATGGAATTTTTGACGACACCTTTCGACGAACCAGGCTCAACTCGTCCTGCGCAACGTGGTTACCAGAGTAATGGGACCTTTCAAACATCAACAACCATGACGTCTTCAACCGGAACTGTCGAGGGTGTTTATTTTGGCTTCGTCAACATGACAAAACCTAAAAGTATGCTCAAATGCAACAAGAAGCAGTCATTCAAATACTGCACAATTGTGTCCATCTTATTTCTGTTATGGGGAATATCATATGGCCTACTCAATACTTTGAACAACGTCATTGCGAAAGTCGACAATATGACCACAGCTGAAACACTTGGCATGACGTCTGTATACTTCGGAGGCGGTTACTTCTTTGGACCCCTGCTAGTGGGCGAATGGATTCTTCGGCGCGACGAACACAACCGATCGAAGCGACACAAGGCCAACGGCCACGACAGCGTTGGTGGCTTCAAAGTTACTTTTATCGTCGGGCTATGCTTTTATGGGATTGGAACTGTCATCTTCTGGCCCTCGGCTGTTACCCAATCATACGCCGGATTCATGCTCAGCAACTTCGTTGTCGGGTTTGGTCTATCAATTCTGGAGGTTGGCGCAAATGCATTCTTGATACTTTGCGGCCCCCCCGAATACGGCGAGACTCGCGTGCTCATGGCGCAAGGTATCCAAGGCACTGGCAGTGTTCTTAGCGGCCTGCTGGCCCAGAAGGTCTTCTTCAAGGGCATTGTGGAGCAGAACAACGCGACCAGCATGACACTCATCAACGTGCAATGGACGTACCTAGGAATCACACTCCTGTGTGTTGCCCTCGGGCTCTTCTTCTACTACATGCCACTTCCCGAAGTGAGTGACCGTGAGCTTGAGCAATCTGCCAAGCATCTTCCTATGGATCCTCAGAAGAAAAGAGGCGGTCTACAACTCCGCACATGGAGTCTTATCCTCGCCGTTGTTGCTCAATACACTTACGTTGCCGCCCAGGAGTGTTTCAGCATCTACTTCCGCAGCCTCATGATATCCATACTCCCCAACACACCCAACACCGGCGAGCAAGCAACCGAAGGTGCAGGCGACATTCCCAACCCCGATAAACCACCTGGCATCACACTCTCAATACCCGATTATCTCCTCATCGCGCATACCGCCTTTGCCGTGTCCCGCTTCATGGCAGCTGGCCTTGCATATCTCTCTGTATATCGTTCCCGCTTCCCACGACCCCGTACCATCCTCACCGCCTGCATCGCTGGCTGTTTCGTCTTTGCCCTTCTTCCTGTGGTTGTCCGTCCACCCAACCCTAACCTTCTTGTTATACCCATCGTTCTCTTTTACTTCTTCGAGGGCCCTATATACCCTCTTATTTTTGCCATTGGTCTCCGTGGTCAAGGTCGACGCACCAAGCGTGCTGCCGCCTTTATCACTATGGGTAGTTCCGGCCCCGGGTTCTTCCCCTTTATCATGTATGGCATAATTAAGCACGGAGGCACCGTCAGAACGGCTTTCATCGTCGTCATTGTCCTCCAGGCTGTTTGCATGTCCTACTCGGTCTTTCTCCAATTTATTGGCGACGCCAAGCAACTCGTCGATCCTTGCCCTGCGGTGCGTGATGCCCTCAGACAGCCGGATGAAGAGATGCCGTCGCCTATGGAGACAGCGATTGCCGGGAGGGCGCGCCGACAAAGCACGATGAAGGAGAAATCTCAGGGGTTCTTGGATAAGGTGTCACATGGAACTAAGGTTATAAGTGCCAAGTTCCTCAGCACTCGGCGCCGGTCTTCACAACCCTCGATCCACCAATGCGAAGATAGTCGCGATAATGCGGCGTCATAATTAATGCTGATGCCTCTTTTTCACCCATCTTCATATATATTTTACGGCCGAATAGTTTCGGAACTCTTGGATTCATAAACAGCGAAAAAAGGGAGGCGTCGGGTTGGGTCAATGACGGATGAATTGTTTTTTTTTGGATGCTCTATACCCAACAGGTCCTTGTTCTGGATGGACATTGGTACATACTTTTTTTATTAGTTATAGTTTCAAGGACGTGTATATGTGTATATATGTATCATATGTTTGATACGGTATGATAATCAATGCGTTACCAAAAGTTCAAGAGCCAAACCGTTTCAGAAATTTGATGCTGCTATCTGCTATCATTTTGAATTAATTGAGTTGCTTGTCAGCCTCAAGATCATTTTTCAATTCGTTTGATACCAGTTCAGATCTGGAATCATATGCAATAAGATTAACCATGAACTTTTTTCACCACCCAAATTGCTCCAGATGCAACTCAACACCAGCTCTGTTTTCCACGATACAGCCAGCAGCCGCGTCCTGAACGGCTGACATGAGTGTCCGGGGCCCGCAGCCCATCACCAGCACTCGTTTGTCGGATGGCAAATTCTCTGTAAGTTCTTCCACAAGTGAAGCGACATCTGGCCTCCCAACGTGAAAGGCATCATCCATGGAAGCGTTTATCGCGGGTGAGAGAGCTTCGTTCTTCTCAATGTCAAGCGATAATCGGGCAGTATCGACGTGGGGAAGAACGTCCTTTTCCGGGTCGGGCTCGATGAAAGTGCTGCTTGAAGACGCGTGCGATCGTGAGGAAAGCTGTCTCCAGGGGACAATCTCGGTTTCTGAAGCTCGTGTTACATAGATCTTGGTCGAGACACGGTGGTCTCGACGTAGGGTCTCGACATGGTCGGCGAACCAGGTGAAATATGCTACAAGATCGGTTAGTATCGTGACACCACGGTTTTTAACGTGGACTTACTTGGTTTCCTGATCACCCATACGAATTCGATGTCGACCTCGGCATCTGTGTCCAGTCTTTTGAGCATATCTAGAGCCGCGCCAACCGTGAAGCTTGCACCGCTCCCCCCTGCTATAAGCATGACCTTGTCATACCCCTTGACATCAGGGTGATTACCGTAAGGACCCTCGACTGACCCTTTCAGTGTGATTCCCGGGTACTCAAGGGCACACTTGTGCAAAGCCCGAGTGAATCCGTCATGGGCTACCACAACAAACTCGAGGGGATCAGTAGCAACCATGGTGAAAGGGTGGGTTTCAACGGTGCGTACCCCGGGGATCCAAAGGAAGCCATGTTTGCCAGATGAAGATCCATATGGTGCCTTGGCAAGTGTGACACGAGTACCACCATTAGGGAGCGGCGTGAGAGTGACGGTGTTATTGGCGCTGTTAACGATGATACGTGCGAGGCGGATGATTCGCTCGAGGACCCAAATTCCGGCTGAAGCAAAAATGACGTACAGAACCTTCTTGCTAGGCTCCGGCTGATGGAGACTGGTCAAGATGACAGCAAGGATCCAGAATACCACATGAAGGTAGTAAAATAGTTCGTACCACCACGTCCGGAGGACAGCACCGGCAAAGCCAAGGATTAAGAATGAGCCCATAGCGACCATGCCAAAGATTTCTTCTCTCGCAAGCAAACGTTGGAGAAAGTTTTGGGCACCGAAAACGGCAGCGTAACTGCAAGAGTGTACTATGGCGAAGATAAGAGTAGTGTAGCCGGTTATGCGATGGAGAATGTTGAGGCGTTCATAAGAGGAGGTCATGAATATGACAATGGGAGTATTCTTGAGGGAGAGAAGGACGACGATGAGGAGATTTGCAATAGCCATCCTGTATATATTACGTTACTAGAAGTTTTGCTAAAAGGTGTATTTGAAAACTAACCATCCGGTTCGAGAGGCCATGTTGGAAAGAAGCGGCATATTGTCGTTGTCCAGGTGAGTAAAAGTGACGATCGTGTTGATAACTACGTATCCGAACATAGCAAGAGTATATCCTCCCGATGGTAACCTTGCGATATTTACAAGAGCACTCGCTCTCAGGCGCCTGTTATACAGTTAAACCAATGTCCCGTTCCAGGTGAGGGCAGATCATTACCGGAAGATCGCTGTGGCGGTATTCGGTTTGCGCGAGGCACCTAGATCAACGCAAAGCCTTCTGAGAAGGATGGCTATGCACATGGTGAAGAAGAAAGCAGTCATAGCTGTAGCAAAGAAAACCATGGCATTGTAGTTCAGTTGTTGACGCCGGGCAAGTTTGGCGGCAAAGGCCGGATCCGAATGTGTCGAACCGCCTGCCATTGTTAGATCGAAGTGCGGGTGAAGTTTGAGAGTCGAACTGGCAAAGAGTTTCAGATGTGAAGAAGAGGATGAGGAAGAGGAAGAGGTTGTGTTGACAGGAGAGAGGGGAGAGAAAGAAGTAGGCGTTGCCGTCGACTTGGTGACCCGTACTAAGTAGGACAAGACACAATGATCGTGAAGAAGTCTGTCAGTCGGGGAGGGTATCAGTGTGTCAGAGGATCAATCTCCGAAGTCACACGGCAACGACTGAATGAGATGTGGCTAATGTTTGGTTGGGGACCCATGGCCGTTCCCTCCCTTTTATATCTTTTGTTGGCCGATATGATCCGAGGCTTTGATCTTACAACCTGACAGTTTCACATTCTATCGCAAGTACTTCGAATTATTCGCATAGGGGCTTTTGGTAATCGATATGCGGGATCCATCGGGACGTTCGAGACAGCTCCGGGGAGGATAAAAGAGCAGCTCATTGCATTGGCAGAGACGCACCTGTAGCTTTGACTTACTGACAGTTAATTTACCGCCAACAGATATGCAGGTGCCAAATTCTAGGCAGAGTGTGACTGATGCCAGAAGTTGATCTGTGAGTGGTTGTGAGTCCAAAGATCGCGGGAACTGGCATGAATCATCATGAAGGATGCAGCTCGAAATCGGGTCAACACGCCTAACTAAAGGCACAACACATTTAATCTCTATGTGAATTTTGCGTATTGGTTTCAAAGCCACAACAATCTCTGTCCACCATCTAACGTCAAGGCACGTGTTCTTTGCCAACATGCAGATCTGCTTCGGCCACCTCTGGCGCTTCTTGAGGCTGAAACTGTGCTTCAACTTCTGCATGAGCATTTGCATTGATCAAATGTATATGGCTCAAGAGAGTATGGGTATAAAAAGAAAGCTTTTGTACAGTATCTCAGCCCCAAGTCGAGGCTGTGGGCTTCCTCACCACGAGTCTTCTGGATGTCTTTCAGGAGCAACAGTTAAATACAAAACGCCCAGATGAAATGTGACAACTTCACCGCAGACTATAGTTCATGAGAGAGGTAACCTTCATTAAACTTTATCCTCAGTTTGTGGCAACCTTTTCCACATGGCTTGGTCACTTCTAAATGCTTGACCCGTTGCAAACAAGTAAAGGAGTCTGCAGTGATTATCAACCTTCCGTACCTGAGTATACGCACACACAACCCGCATGTGTATTGTATGACTTGAGTTGTTTTAGACTTGTTTATATCCTATTCTTTGTCATGATTCTGAGAATTCGTTTTATGTGGGGACGAAATAAGAGGAAACTTTCCAACTACTCCCTGAAGTTCGCAAGATGATATCGCAGGATAGAGGCGGCATCCTGTCCGAGTTTGCTCAAGAAATGAAGTGAAAGGAAGCCTCAGACCGTGAAAAGCTGTCGCTGGAACCTCAAAAGGAGGCGTAAGCATCGGACGAAGCATCGAGCGGAGGGTCGTTTGGCGATGATATTATCAAGAAAAAGTGAAATATCTCTTGAGATGCGCCTCGAATCTTCTTGTTCCACTGGTTGAAACCTTTCCCTTGCAACTTGTTCGGTCGCCTTAATGACCAAGCAACACTTCAACAAGACATATACCTCGATCTCAAAGCAATTCCTGTGTATCGTCGGCTTCTACCCCAGATGCAACGGCATCGTGTGATACAAGCATGCTTTGTCAAGCTGACAGATATGTCGAATCTGTTAAACCTTGTCACACAACATTGGGCATGAAACCGAGATGCTTGATGTCGCTACATGAGGTTGCCAACAATGTCGAGGAGGCTCTTTGCAAAGTACTCGGCATTACGTATGGTGTAGATGGCTGCACACAGCTATGACAGGGCATTCACCCCCTTTTACGAAGCGCCACCGTTTCACTCCTGCCAGAAGCCGCCAGACCTCCAAAATATATAAGTATTGCTTAGCACGATTGGCTGATTGTTGACCGTGCCCGCGGTTATGCTCGTAGTACCGCAGTCGCAGTTATGTCCCTGGGCAAGCATAAGGCGAGGAGCTATGAAGGCAATCGAATGCAAAGGGTCGTTTTCTCATACAAATTCTTCATTGTCACCTCGACATGAGCAACATGCGTCTAACCACATGAAAAGACGGAAATCGATGATCGACTGTACACCTGGTCCTTTTCACCCGACCAGCGGTTGTTCTGAAACCGGCTGAACTTGCCGTGTGGAAGCTCGTGCTATAATTTGCTAGTATGAGCAATCACAATGGCTAGACACCCGGGTTGCTCTTTGGTGATGAAGCGGGAACCCGCTCGGATGTGGCAACCATTGAAGTTCTGGGATCGGTCCGTTCATCTATGTCTTTGCTGGCGTGTGACGAAAGTGTGTAGGAAAACTTCTAAGCGATTGACATTTTCATACCTCCATTCGCGCAAATTACACTTCCTGTTGTCCACCCACTCTCTTCTGAACAGAGCATATCAATTGTACCGGCGATTTCGGTCGTAAACCCAGGTCTTCGATTGCCCATGTTCTCACGTACCGTTCGATCAAAGCGTTCAGCATCAGTCCCAACCATAGCCAAAACCTCCGGTTCACCGTTATACTGCGCCAATGGGGCTGCGTCAACATAAGGCTGGTTTATGTTCCAGAAAGTCTGTCCAGCGGCTGCGTACATATCTCCCCAAGCAGGCCCGGGATTGACAGCATTGACTGTGGCACGAGTAGCCAGCTCACGACTCCAGGTCCGTGTCATTGCTTCCAAAGCCGCTTTACTCCCGGCGTAAACAGATTGGCCCTGATACCCGATAGACGAAGATACACTGGAAACATTGACAATGCGGCCCGCGCGGTTTGTGGGAAGATGCGGGGCGACAGCCTGGGTCAGGAGGAGAGGGGCCAAGACATTGACATTATAGACGCGGTGAAACTCGACTTCTTGAATTTTTCCATGTCTTTCATCATTCATATGCTGGTTAGACGAGACACCGGCATTGTTGATTAGTATATCAATTTGGAAGGGCTTGTGCGGGTTATATAAATCATGAAGGCGACGTGCAGCTTCAATGATTTTGGGAGAAGCTTCGGACGGCTTGCCCAAATCGGCCTGTACTGCAAGGCATTTAATGCTGTGCAGAGATGATAGCTCGCCGCAAAGATTTCTGGTTAGTTCTGTGGACGAGTTGGAGGTGTAAACAAGGAGAAGATTGCATCCTTTGGCAGCGAGTCTCGCAGCAACGGCTGCACCAATACCTTGACTGAGTCAGCGACGATGTAAATTGGAAGTGGTTGGTGATAGACCAACCTCGAGAGCCTCCTGTGACTATTCCAAGCTTTGAGTCATAGGGACGATGAGACCTGGGGGAAGCTGCTGTATTCGCCATGATGGATGAAAGGACGAGTAGGTTGTATATATCAATTGATCGAAGAACAGCTCGCTGAGGACGCAGTCAATGAGATTTTACATAAACCAGGATGTGCTTTGATAAAAAATTAAATTCAAAAAGTAAATGATGCTCAAAATTTCGATTTATTATGGCGATGGATTTTGGAGGGAAGGTTGAGAACCCCACGAAGGTTCCTTTGAGTCTGCATCATGATGGTGGGGGCATGTGACGTAGACAACGTATCCCGCTAAACATAGAGGCAAGTGCGACACTGTCTCATCATCAATCGATGCTACAAGGATTCATGGGAAAGCTCTTTCCATGAATACAAGACCAAGACCTATTTTGACTTATCACGGTCATAGCTTCAATCACACCTTTCATTTGGAAGCCAGTTCCCTTCACATTCGAAGATTCTAAAGAGTCGACAAGAGGAGTCTACCTAAGTATATGCGGGGACCTATGAGGGGTAACAGCTGAGGGGTGCTCCAGGTCCATATCATGAAGCTCCTCCACTACCTTACAGGGTGCTGCTGATGGTGAACCTTATGAAATGGCCCTAGGGACTTCTTCCCACAATCCCCAAAGCAAGGGTCCTAGCCAACCAGAGACTCAATAGCATGGAATCAACGGTCTCATTGACGGACAACTGAGAATGTCTCCATCAAGCCTTTCTTCTTTTATACAACTAACGGCTTTAGTCGCCAAATGCTCCTTCGACCGCTAGTCTGTTGTGCTCTCACTCGTCTTGTTTGGGTAACTCCGAATACTTCACGATGGAGACGGAACAGCGGTGATGACAAGGAATTGTCGTGTCACTGACCTCGGAATGTCCCAACTAGGGAGAACATCTTGGCATCGGAGGGCCGTGAGTCGCCGATGCTATTGATTGTTGATAAACAGATGGTCTTCCAAGAGGGAAGGGTTCCGGGGCGCGGAACAAGGGGAGGGGATTTGGCCAGCAATTGCTATCCTTGGATCGTATAAAGGCTCATGCATTACAATCTTCACTATCATGTCTTTTGAGACACAATCTCTCTTCTGTCTTCCCCCATCACTTTGTATACCTCACTTGTTGGAGAAGCAGTACTCAACATGTCTGATCTTAACCCCCTCAATGGAGGCAACTTCGTCCATGATAACAAACGCGTGGTCGATGGAGGCTCCATTCTGAAGCGTTTCTCTCTTCAGGGCAAGACTGCCATCATTACCGGTGCCGCCGCTGGTATCGGCCTTTCTATCGCCGAGGCTTACGCTGAAGTCGGTGCCAACATTGCAATCTGGTACCGTACCAGCAGCAAAGCTGAAGAGCGTGCTGAAGAAATCTCCAAGAAATACAACGTCTCAGGTAGAGCATTTGCAACTTCCCCCCCAAAAGTCTACTTTTTAACGAAACTTCTCCAGTCAAGGCCTATCAGGTTGATATGAGAGATGCCGAAGCTGTTGAGAAGGCTGTCGACCAGTCAGTCAAGGACCTTAACGGTCGGTTGGATATCTTCGTGGCCAATGCCGGTATTCCTTGGACGAAAGGTCCCATGGTCGATGGCCCTCTTGATCACTACCGTGATGTTGTCCAGACCAACCTGGACGGCACTTATTACTGTGCCAAAGCTGCAGCTAAACACTGGCGTCGCCAGAAGGTCGAGGGGACTGATATTAACGGCCAACCTTTGACAAATTACACATCTGGTAGTTTCATTGCCACGGCGTCCATGAGTGGAAGCATCGTAAACACTCCCCAACTCCAGGCTGCTTATAATGCCGCCAAGGCTGGTGTCATTCACCTCATCAAGAGTCTGGCTGTTGAGTGGGCTCGATATGCTCGTGCCAACGCCATCTCTCCCGGTTATATCATTACTGAGATCTCCAACTTTGTGCCACAAGAGACCAAAGACATTTGGAAAGACAAGATTCCTCTTGGGTATGATTTCTCTATCTGTATACAGTCGATTTGCTGACAAGTACATAGCCGTGAGGGCGAGCCTCATGAGCTCCAGGGTGCTTATCTGTTCCTAGCATCAGACGCTTCCACATACGCCACTGGTGCCAACTTTGTTATCGATGGGGGCTACAGTGCTCCATAGTTCTGATATTGGAGAAATAGGGACCTGTCATTTGCACATAAAGGACGACGAGTCACTCAGGCAGTATATGAATCTTAGCATAAACATTGTTATAGAAAAATAGACTATACTAAGTTATAAGAGCCTATAGAGAATAAGAAGAATAGGTAAAAGAAGGGGGGGTATTGAAACACGTACGACAAGCCTAACCTTCTACCAATACACCATAGACGACTCTACCAACAAAATCACGATGTCCAAACTGAAAATGTCCTCATTCGATGTACTTCGCCCGGCTCAAAGCCCTCGCCTCAGTTGTCCTTTCTCCATTTATGGGGAGATAAAGGAGAATGGACGCCTGTAAGACGTAACGCCTCTGCCTTCATGGCTGGGTCGTCCTTGATAGTCCCCTGAATTTTGGCGTATTGGCGCTTGTTCTTCCACCCAAATGGATTGAACGGAAGTCTCTTGATACCCAGACTATTCTGTTCCTCGTCGTACTTGGTCGCTTGAAGGATAGAATCTGCAAGTTGCACAAGCTGCGCAAAAGAGTCACTCTTTGGGAGCTTGTTAAGTTCACTGCGTCCATGTTTGACATATTTTATGCCTTCAATTAGGATACCCTCGTCTTTAGTCGTCAAGACTTTCCGCATACCGTGAAGAATGAGCATAGAGCCTTTGATTTGGCGATTGACCTCTGGATCCATCGTTTCGAAATACTCTTTGCATGACTTGACCCATTTGTCAGCGTCATTCAGGAGAATTCTTGCCAATGTATGATCGCCCTCCCGTAGAGCAAGTTGAAGATAGTTGCGAGTTCGGAAGAAGCAGACCAAGTTCAGATAGTTGATTCGGTCCACGAGGTTCGGTGCTTCTTCTTCATCGGTTCCTTTGTTCTCCTTCCGAACTGCATTGATTAGACTGTCAACCGTGATGTAGTTGGTTTTCCCCTGAACTCTCATGCTGTCATTGCTGGCCCGAAGTTCCTCTTTGAGGTTTTGTACTTGTAACTCCAATTCCTTGACCCGGTTTCTGCAAGCATCGTCCTGGGTGGCATGAGACTGTGCGGCTTTTACTGACCAGGGCTTCTTCTCGAGTTCCTTTATCTTGCTTGAAAGTGTTCTCGTTGTGTCTTGTTCACTGCATAATTGATCTAAGAAAGTATCCCTTTCTGATTCTGCTTCGGAGACCTTCTTCTCCAAGCTTTCCTTGGTTACAGGTGATAATGGTGAGCTCTGACTAGACTGTGAGGCTTCTCTGACGGAAGTTAACGGGGTCCTAGGTAGCCTTACGGTGGGTGGAGGCGGAATAGAATGTTTGTTGTATTGCATCGAGGAATCCTCGAGGTCCGCCTTTTCCTCTTCCGCCTTACTCCCTGCTGTCATGTCAGTATACAAAGCCAGTTGACGAACATCTTTTTTAGTTACCACAGGGTTCGTTTTGTATATCCGTCTTCTCTTTTTCCTCTTGTTGTAGCTTTTCTGTCTCCTCTTTGAGCCTGTGGACTTCCATCTCGAGCTTGCTGTTTTCAGTTTGCAGCTGCTGACAGCGAGACTCCTTTTCTTCACAATCTTTGATGGTTTGGCCTAGCTTCTCAGTTACATCGTGCTGCTGCGTGGCCATCTCGAGCTGCAGTCGATCCATGCTCTTGATGAACTCGTTAACATACTGGACAGGGACATCCTTCTTGTTCCTGCACCGAATTAAGAGAGCTGCATGGATCCCACTGTTGGAGATAAATTGGTGAGTCACCTCCTCTCTCAGTTCAGGAGTTACATTAACCCCTTGGTCCTCCAGGCCTTTGTTCTGCTTCTCGGCTTTCTCCATTGGAGGAGTTGTAGGTCGCAAGTGAGGGCCCAGTGGGTCGGGTTTACCTGCAAAAGGGTCAATTATTCTAGCATCATACGCCTGTTGCGCATCCTTGATCTCTTGGTTTGATACTGACATGTTCCGTGCGAACTGAAATTCACGATCCGGATCGCCTCTTTCGGGTTCATGGTGCTTGCTTCCCCACCAGTTGTGATCTTTTGTCTTTCGCTTATTTTTGTAATTGTGGTATGTTTCTATAGTCTCTCGAGCCACTTGAGTCCTGGTCGGTTTAGTTGACGTGGGGGAATCATCGAAGTAAGGCTCATTCTGGCTACGAGGAGGTCCGGAGCCAGTGTCTTTGAGGGAGGGTTGCTGTTGGTGGTGATGAACCGTTTGTCCTGTTTCCCGGACCTCTTGTCCTGTCTCCGATTTTTTATCTTCCGTCATTTCCAATTTTGAACTCTGGTTCCAGAAGAAGTAAACGAATGTTGTATGAGAAGTTGTCTCGGGTCGTGGCATGGGCAATTATCGAGGGTTTCAAAGGCTTTAATAATTCCTTGAAAATCAATAATGTCCGTGTAGCAACCCTGAAGATGAGCGTTCTCTTCGAACAAGGACTTAAAAGGATTGATTACAGGCAAGGCTGGTTAATTGTTGCATCACCCCCTTGAGGGCGTCTTCTTTTGGTGGGCACGTTCGCTTTTTTAGGACACGGACAGACATCCTTACTGCAAAACAACTTCATGAGAGTTGAATCTGGTGAACATTCAATGTTTAGTATCACGCTTATTTCTATTCCATATCGCCCTCTCAGTAGGCTACAATTAACAAGTATCTTGTCTTCCCTAAGGTACGCTTCATCGATCATTGTACGTCTTGTGTACGTCCAAGTTCATCGACACCTTCTGTCTTAACCTAGTGACCTTTTTTAAAATATAGAATCTTCTGGACTCTAATCGCTCATCCCCCAGACCCTTGACGTTGTGGCTCGGTGATGGTTGCCCAAACCTAGGTACTCGAGTCGAGTCCTTTGTCCATCGCTTATTAGAGCTGCCAACACTCGAAACAAAGGACCACGGCAAAGTCGTGCCCAATGTTTCGGACTTGTTTTGGATTGACCCAAAGATTTCGTTTTCAAAAATAGAACTTTCCGTCGGCAAGCCTCAATCATTTGTTGGGCAATATGTTGTTCAACCACATTCATAAATCTCTTTGTCAATCTCAACGAAGGTGTTGAGATCCATAAAATGTCGCAATGCTGCCTCAATGGCCATTTCTTCTTGTTAGACCCCAATGTTACAAGACTATTGAGGTATAGTAGTATAACTTGTACTATCAATACCGGACAATTTCTCTCAGAATGCGTTCCACGCTGGTGTCCTCGATACTATGTCTTCTGACCCTTCTCCGGTATAAACTCTGTCTTCCACATGCACCGAAAACTCAGTGGTCAACTTGATGCCTCTTTCATTCTCCAACATTGCGAATCCAGTGGCTGATTCAGCATCCGATGCCGTCTTATTCCCTTTTAGATCTCTTGGCTGCCCGTGGATTGAAATATGAGGGTTTGCAGTCATGTAATCTCTGTTCCAAGAATCATTCAGGGGTTCTTGGGCGCTGCTTCGAGATAACTTCCTCATGTTGTAATGATTATAGTAGTGGTTGTTGGTCCACTCGAAAAGGGGCTGGAAAGCAGGGAGACAGCCGCACCAAAGACCCGAGTTGATCTCTAGGGAGAAGAATGGTGCTACTCGAAGGCTGATGTAAGTTCTATAGTATATGTCAGTTGTTGTTCTTAATACTCTGCAGTGGTTGACTAACATGTCCACATTCATGTTTGTTGTAAGCAGAAGAATGAGCCTGGTGATTGTCGAAACAACAGCAAACAGTCCAAGCAAAACCATCGACGTCATCTTAATGACTTGAGCTCGTGTTTTGTTGGTTGACGCTGAAACCCATATACAGAGGCTGAGTATCACGACGTTAAGAATAGTTGACATAATCGAGTGAGCCCATCTCATACGAGACAGGCTATATTTTGAGACGCACTGTCTGTCTGGCTTTGCGGCGTTGAATACATCTCTATCCAACTCAGTCTCCGAGTAATGAATAAGGGAGAGAAAGGAATCAACATACGATACCGGGATACAGGACAAAAGGACGAATAAGAATGAAGCCACAGCAGTGATTATGGTTGCCACAAAAACTCCATATACGCACGTCACAAAAGATCCTGTTGACTCAGATCAGTAACAGGAACTTGGAAGTGGTGGTTATCTTACTGTCTCTGTTGATGCGAGGAAGACAAGCAAGGATTGATAGCCTGACAAATCCACCCGCCAAGATGAAAACTAACTTGTCGACAGGAGACAGCTGTAGCAATGAATAGTCAATGTCTGGAGTGTACTTGTACGATTCCATGCTTGGGTACATACTGACAAAAATTGAAGCAACGTCTCCTTCGGCACATCCTGTATGTGATATCCAACACCCTTCGTCAAAAGGACGATTTCTATACAAGAAAAGGTCATGACAAGGCCCTAGTCATATGTGAGTCGACCCTGATTTCGATGGGATATTACAAGGAGTATTTACCCAAGCAACAACAGCCAACAAATCATCCCATCCAAGATTTTTGGCCATAATACCGCGAACATACAATCGCAAAATCATCAAGATATTAGTGATGACCATCAGGGCAACGTTGAGGTCGAAAACAGATTGGCCATTGCCGTGCCTCGGGTCAAACTCAGCCGTCTCCAGGACCACCATCCTACCCAATCGAGTCCGTCGCCGTCGTCGTGATGGTGATAGTAGTAGTGATGGATATAGCCCGTGTCTTCTCGTCGTCGTCGTACTCGGAAGGACGGCCTCTGCCGAGCTTGCGATTGATGATATCCGATATCCGTGCAAATGAGCAAGACATTGGTGATGGATATGAAGAGTCACTCAGTTTCTGACATAGGTGCCTGAGCATTTGGAAGTGCAGTGTGGGTTGAAGAAGAGAGGAATCGTGGTCTACGGGGATAATCCCATTCTTTAGAGAGAGATGACGAGCCATGGCGTACGCTTCCAGACAGTTTTGGGCATTCTTGGGTATAGGGCAGAGGTCTATAAAGCCACATTGTCGTCCATCGAGAGCCAAAACGTTGGTGGGAGTCTCTCTTGGCCGGACCTGGCTAAGCGCCGTTGATCTTCTGTTCTTGATCATGAGACATATCGAACCAAACTCGTGGCCACGTTACACGAGGGCCCTCTTTCGGTAGGATATGCTCAAAACTTGAATCGACAGGAATAGTGTTGGTATAGAGTTGACAGCTTATTTTGAGACCGTATGCCAGCCTTCATCAGACTCCTCATCTCGACTCCTAAAAGCAGTGAAGAAACAGGAGGAAACAGGTCCCAAGAATTTGGTATATTGTCTCAAGACGCATGTTTGTCTCTCATACTCCTTGGTCGTTGTAAAGTCAGGTTCCTAGTGGTCCAGCCACTCTCAACTGTGTTGCCGTATTTTTGTCGGTAATGCGAAGCTGTTGGCAATCTCGCAATATTGACTCGGCTTTGGACACGGCTATCAAATCTGCTTCAATCCAATAGATCGATTCTATTCACGAATTGATCAAACATATTTCCGATAGCGTCAAATCTGGCCGATCCGGTCGATGTTGTCTTGTCCTCCCGTTCCTGGCGAGGCGCTAAATCGGCACAAACATGCCTCTGTGCCTTGCATACTGTACATCGTGGGCCGTAACCCCTGCATTCCAGTCAACAATAACACGGGTTTTGACTTTGACAGCCATGCTATGCTGAACGATCTGCGCAGCCTCGAGATTAGAGTTGGTGGCAGTTCTCGTTGCATGCATGCATGTCGCAAGGACAACCAATATCAAGTTCTATGTACGTCGCCATCAGCGACCCTACTACGGAATGATACAACGTTTCGTTGCAATCACCTTTTGCGCCCGCAATAACCCTTGGAACACGTTCACAAGCTTCCGTAGCTCATCAGGCATTACCTATGAGGAGTGTAGGCATTTGAAAGAGACTGTGGAAACACAACAAGGAAGTATTAACTTTAATGCAAAAGGATGATTGAATTTAGCCAGACAGGTTGTACATGAGCCTAGAGCTTGAGTTCTCTCAGTGAAAAATCACAATCTTACCCGAGTCCAGCGTAAGCTGGCCCGTTCTCCTTGAGACTGGTCAGTTGTCAAAGTCGTGGCACCTTATCGCGCCATCGAATATCAGGGCACCTAGTAGTAATCTTCTTGGTGTTGCCTGGCACATGAATTCATCACTTGGTAAATTCAAATTAACCTAGATGCGACGCAGAGGCAGGTGCCTGAGTGGACACATATATATATAATTCAAAACTGCCACCCATACCAGTGCCAATTGGAATCCAACATCTTGATAAAATCCACTGTCCTAAGCCTGAGAACCATAAATTCCAGCACCTTTGAGCACCCAACACAAAATATTCCACAGCCTGCCCAGCCCTATCATCGCGAGTAGATAGCCGTATCATATATCATATCACAGCGAGTAAGCCAGCCAGCAGCGCTCCCTGAAACCGCACCCAGCTCTCCAGTATAACAACAGGTAGTACTTTATGATTGTCATCGACTTCCCCGCCAACTTGGCTACCACAGCTCTCCATCGGGAACCATGTCCTTTGGTGCATGACCCCTCTGTTCTGCCCTGCAACTATTTCGTGATGCACGCACAGCCGCCAGATTCAGCGGTGCAGGTGGCCCCTTGCGCGGGGCATTAGGGTCCCGAGGACTCGGGGGCCTTGGCACCGGCTTCGGATGCGCAGGCAGGCCCATGGATCCCTGTGGAAGCTCAGGTGGTCCAGCTGAGTTCCGGTGTTTTGGTGACGTCGGCGAGATCTGCTTGCGGATGTCGGGGTCATATAAATGGTGGACGGGATGACCACTAGGGGTGGGAGATTGTACAGGGGTCGGTCGACTTTGACGTTTGATCCCTCGAGGTGATGTAGGGGCCCAGGCATCAGCAAAGGCATTGCCTGGGTGGATGGCTGTCAAGAGGGCTGCGGCTAAGAAGGGGAGAAGTCCTCCGACAACCATGAAAGCAGCCTCGTTCTGGAAGACATCCCCCGAAACACCATCTGCAAACTCGACAAGCCGATAGAAGGAGTAGACAATCAAGAGAGCAGATGCCATCTCCATTGCTGAGTTTGGTGTTAGCCTAGGAGAGTCATTTCGCAGGACGTGGACGTACCTAGGAGGAATTTCTTAAATCGAGAAGAAGAGTAGACCTGCGAGTGCCGGGCGTCGAGGGTTCCTCGACGAGTGCTCAAGCTGAGGGTGAACCAGAAGTGTAGCCCAGTGCATGCTATCAATGACAACGCTTGAATGGCCAAGCCCGTAGCTGTGATCGCTGCTCCTTGTTTCCGCTGCTCAGGTCAGTACATGACAATGATTTGCTTCTACCGTTGAGATAACATACGGTGACTCCATTAGATTCATATGCCGTAAAGACGATGCCGATAAGCTCGAATAACACAGTGACTGCAGCGAGTCCCCAAAAGACGAGGCCAGCTACAAGTGGCCTAAAGGGACAAAGCGGCTCTCCATAGATGCCAAGGATGTGAGGAAGGATTATGAAGATGGCAACACTAATCAGCGATGGTCCCAAGACTGTTCCGAATAAAAAGAGGAAGAAATGGCCTTGACTATCTCGCTTCGAGTGAAGCAGAATACGGCCAACAAATCCTAGTACTTCGAGAAAAAGTCCGGTGGTGAGTGCGAGGGAGAAGAGGTAGGTCCTGGAGCGGATACCAAAGTAGATGGCGGCGAGAGCAAGGAGAGCAAAGACAACAAGCAACACAGCGTTGCCGCCTACACTCGGATTGTATGAGTAGAAGCCATCAGAGGCCGGACAGGTCGATCCACAATCGCCTGCCATCGTCGGGTGTCAACCAACAAAGGCTGGCAAATTATCATGGCAGGCTGACAACCAAGTCAAAAGCAAAGGGGGACTCGGAGAATAAGACGGGATGGCTTGGCCCCCATACATATAGACAGACAGATCAGAACTCTGCCATCTGCCATCTGCCTGGTCTGGGCGGAGCCCTGCATGTGAGGCTCTGTATACATGGGGCGCTGCAGAGAGGGGATCACTGTTGGGAGGGCCACAATGCAGTGCAACAGTAAAGACAAGCTAGACAAGGTCTCAACGGGTGAGACGGGTATTCAGCCTTTACTAGACGGCACTTTGGGCGGTCCAATAGCGAACAAGAACAACTGCCATAAGCTCGAACCATAATTGATGTAAGAGCCAACACGACCAATCAAGTTTGGTCATGATCGACGTTCAGGAGCACGAAGTGACATGGTACCCAGTCCTTGCAAAGTGCCAGAGTGAAGAGGAAGGGCATGAAGCATCAAAGAGCATGTGGTTGTTGGGTGTTGGATCCTTGTAATCATAAGCCAGGATGACATCTGTAAAGTGATTTGCAAGGTTTGTGATGGGTTGACATGACTAGGACAACTGCACAGAAATGGCTATGCAACTCAAAACATGACATGGACAGAAAAGGTGTAACTTATCCGGAGCCTGACAGGGTTGTATAACCCAGGATCATAGCAATCTCTGCCTGCAAGAGACAATCTTCTTGTCGTTGCGCTGGCTGAGATGGGGGGGGCGGGGGGGCTAAGTGTGCCAATCACGAAGGGATAAAGGCGGGGAAACGGCGGCAGCCCGCACGGCACAGACGCAGCGGGCGAGCGGTACTAGGCCACGAAAGCGGCCAGGCTTTGTCGTGGTTGGTCGACGAGCGCGAAATGGGGCGTTGATGGTCTTGGGCGGCAAGCGGCCCGCATGGTGCCATTCCGCGAGCTCTTCTAACGCGAGTGGTGATCGGGAGTTACCATAAAGTCGCAAGCACCTCGACGTATGTGACTCGGAAGTGGATGGGTCATGTCATGATCCAAAGCTTCGAGGTGCGGCAGAAGCGCGGAGTGGTTCCGGGACACATCATACAGGGCTCGTAAATTGGCATTGCGAAGCGCGGCGTGAGCAATGCCGATCCTGACACAAAAGGAAACCTCGTCGACCTCGGGAGAACTCGAACAACACCAAGTCGACAGAGGGACCCTGGATATGCAGTTGGTTCAAGATGCAGCACATCTCATGCCAAATTGTGGGCGTTGAAACACCTCGGCAGAGGGTCCGTGAGTGCTATGAGGTGTCGATCGCGGGCTTTCCTGCCCTGACAGACTCAATGCCGACAAAGGTATCGTGCCAATTGCGGTCTGTATCCACCTCCAAGTTGTTGATATGTGATGGATGTGTCAAAGAACTGTGTTGGTTGATGTCTTGTCGGACGTTATAGTGGAGATTGCGACAGGCTTCAAGGCTGGATCAAGCAGGTGACGCTCATGAAAAGTTGTCATCACCAACACTCTTCATGCGTCCTATGCATCTGCATTGCAAAGCACCTCGTGCTTGGACGTTCCCTTCCCTTCCCTTCTATCTGCCCTGCCCTGCCCTGTCTGATACCAGCATTTCCGATCTCCAGGGAATTGATCTTCGAACCTTCTCCACCAAACATCTTATAACTCATCGCGGCACAGCGGAGATGTGACCGCGTGAAAAGCTTGGGTAGATGACTTGTACCCCTGTTTGAGGGACTTTTGGTAGATTGCCCTTGATGAATTGGGTTGAAGGGCCACAATCTCGAGTTGCCAGATCTGTACAGTAAAAAGCTTGTCGGAGACGCGGCGCTAAAACACCCGATCATGTAAGCCACATGCGGTACACATGATGCGCCACAGTGTCCGTGAGATGATATCTACCTAGGTATAGTAATTAGCCACAGTCACCCCTCCTTCATGTCAGGTGCGGTGAGGCCTATCGCGGGGCTTGGCTCAGGCTGTGTAGCCTCGGTGACGTACATCCAACTAAGTTAACCCAAGTTTCCCGTGCAATCCGTCTAAGAGTCAATGAAAATCGATCAAGTTTCTTCCATGCAGAGAATGCAAGACTGACAGATCTTGGAGCTATTCGAGAGGATACGCCAAATTGTGAAACGCTCCTTCAAACGAAGAGTCTCTTGTTAAGATCTCTAGCTATATCACGCTCAACTCACTTCAGCTCACGACAAACATTATTGGACTGTTAGGTCCGAGTCAATCTCAGATCGAGCACTCACGTCACACAGGGTTTCTCTTATTCTTTCATTGTCAGTCTTTTCCTGACTCTCACCCATCATGTCTATTCGAATAGCGCTGGACAACCAGCCTGAGTTCTATACCAACCTCGACTTGGTACAAGGCCGAATCATCCTGGGTCTCAACCGCGCCGAGCAGATTGGAAGCATTGTTGTCAAGCTCGAAGGGGAATCGGGAACAGCTCTACAGGCTCCGAATGCCTTTGATCCACAGAACATGGCCAGGCTACAACCCAGCCCTCAACGGCCTCCTGGCAGCACCGCAGCTGAGAACCACAAAATCTTATACAAACTACAACAGGTTTTTCCAGATGACTATTATGCGAGCTCCTCTAACCCTTACGGTGCATACCCCCTGCAAGCAGGCGAGCACGAGTTTCCTTTCAAGTTCAAGCTTCCCATCAATAATGCATGCAGCGACCCAATGGCTATGTCGAAAATCGGCGGCATGGCCAACGCCGGTGGTTTTGGGGGTGGAGGAATGTTTGGTATTGGTGGTGTAAGGGTCATGGATGGTAGCAAGCAACTCTACCTTCGCCATGTCACCCGCACACTACCCCCATCATTAACAGGATATCCTATGGAGGCGGAAATTCGCTACTACATCAAGGTTACAATCCAGAGACCGGGTTTGCTGAAGGAAAATTGGCGGTATCAGATCGGTCTGAAGTTCCTCCCTATTGAACCGCCCCGGCCGAAGCCGACAACCCAGGAGGCTTTTGCTCGTCGTCCCTTCACATTTCGGCCAATGACCCCCCAGCCAGAGAAGAAGCGGTCCTCTCTCTTCAACTTTGGAAGCGGCACAGATTCAAAATCGGCCTCTGCACCAGAGCCATCTGCAGATATTGCCCCAGCTCCAGCAATTGAGATTTCAGCACGCCTTCCCCATCCAAGCGTCTTGACTTGTAACAAGCCTGTTCCACTACGGCTTATCGCCAAAAAGCTCAACAACAATCCAGAACAAGTCTATCTAGTATCGTTTCAGATGGAGCTTATTGGCCGTACTGATGTCCGCGCGCTCGAGCTCCAAAACCAGAAGATCAACCGATGGGTTGTCGTGTCAAACCCCAACATCAACATCCCGCTGACCACAGGGCCTGATGACGAAGTTGGGAAGGAGTTGGTGATTCCAGACCATGTATGGAGGAACTTGCCTCTTCCCAACACTGTGGCACCCTCATTCGTCACTTGTAATCTTTCTAGGAGGTACGAGCTCGAGTTGAAGCTTGGTCTAGCCTGGGGCATGCCAAAGAAGGGCATCACCAACAAGAGCCCACCGGTCATCCTCCTACCGCTACATTTTGCGCAAGTCGAAGTTTATTCTGGTATTACACCGCCTCCTGAACTCGTTGAATCCGCAAGATCGACGCGGCCAGGACGTGCAACCTTCACGAATAACGTCCCGCCCCGTCTACCACCAAGACAAAACTCGGTTTCCTCAGCCCCAGTGTCAGCTCAACAGCAACGACCTTCTCAAACTCCCAACCAAGTGCCTCCCCAGCCAGCTCATGACCCCCTCTATCCACCACAACTAGCTCCGGGTCAAGAGGCACCTCCATATGACGATGCTCCGCCCAGCTATGACGAAGCCATCGCCGAGAACCTGGCTGGCCCCTTCGACGGCATGCAGGCCCGGCCAGCCTACAGCGGTGTCACGAACGAAAATGCGCCGAGCCAGTTACCTCCTGAGAAGAGTTGAAGTGATCCAAAGCATGACTTGTCTGGATAAATGCTTTAATGTGCTGATGATAACGATAATGCCGGGTGTGGAGGATTTTGATAGGACTGAGAAAAGGAGTGAGGGGTTCATTCAGATCCTGGCTCGATCATGGTGCCATTAATTCTTCACTTGGTTGGAATCACGATGGGTTGTTGAGTTCTCAATTCCATGTTACCTTACATGTGCTGTTTCAAGAGGAGTTATTGGTTAAGTACTGGCACATATACATCCCAGACCCAGGCTTGGATGTAACTCCAGTATCACCTTATTGTCATACATAGTTTGAGGTTGTCTTGGATCTAGAATCCCATTGTTAGTAATAGAGTCACAAATACCGAATACCTACCTAATTCAGAACAGTTCCAGCTCAGTTTACCAGACAATGACATTGACTTTAAAGAATCAGTTGCAGCAAGAGAAGATCATTTCCACACACTTGCAGCGGGTTAAACAGAGTCTTCATGAACTATCTGGATTTAAGAATAGTGTAGTCGCAGTTTTCGTTTGCCGTCAGACTGTCATTTCATCAAGTACTGAAGGCTCAAGTAAAAGAGGGAAGCCCCAAATATCTATCCACATGCTTGAATATAAAGGCAATACCTGAGCCCCAGAAATTCTATAAGCACTTATATTATGGAAGCTTTTTAGAATATTGCAGAATAGTTACAGTTACATCTAAACTGTAAGCCAATAATCCCAAGATAAATAGTTACTCATTCTACATTTTTCTTAGACGTGGAGCGCAAACGCAACTATTTTACCCCCCTAAAAAAAGGATATCACACGCATTCGCGCCGTGACGTCATTAGTTCGTGACAGTCGTTCTACTTGACTACTAGAACTCTACCTACATCAACACTTCTATCGCATTGCGCCCATGCGACTCAACAATCCATGAACAAATCGGCAATATGGCGCAATGCGCCTGCTTCGCCCCTATGCCGGCAACTATACCGCGCGCAATGCCATCGAAGCTTCGCTTGCAGCACTTACCTCGGACGTGAACATGATCCGAGGATAAAGGCGTTGGGCAGGGAAATATCTGACGACTATGCGATAATAAGAGAAAAATACGGTGTCGCATCTGATCCCACTGTGTGAGGTTATCTTGCTAATACGTTTGGTGATAGAGACTCCAAAATACCCTATCGTCCTCGCCCACGGCCTCTTCGGCTTCGCTGAACTCCGTCTCTCTCCATACTTTCCAGCTGTCGAATACTGGCATGGCATTCGCGATGCCCTCACTGCACAAGGCGCCACCGTCTTGACGCCCACTGTGCCTCCATCATCCTCTATTGCCGATCGCGCTACTGCTCTCCGCTCCGCCCTTGAAGCCCTCGCTCCAATGCCCGAAGCAGTCACAATTGTTGCACACAGCATGGGTGGTCTTGATACTCGATACATGCTTTCACACCTCGCTCCGCTCCCAGTCCGCGTTGCGGCTGTGGTTACCGTTGCAACGCCGCACCGAGGAAGCGCATTTGCAGACTATCTCCTTGATGAAGAAGTCTCACCACTGCACCATTACTTGCCTCAACTTTATCAGACATTTGAAAAAGCTGGCCTCGGTACAGCAGCGTTCTCGCAGTTGACGAGACGCTACATGGCTGAAGAGTTCAATCCGAGCACGCCGGATCAACCAGACGTGCAGTACTTTTCGTACGGAGCGGCAGTGGAGCGGCCGGCGCTGCTGAGTCCATTTCGGCACCCGCACGCCGTCATGACACAGGCCGAGGGACCCAACGATGGACTTGTCAGTGTGGAGAGCAGCCACTGGGGCACATACAAAGGCACGCTCCTTGGAGTGAGCCACTTGGATCTGATAAACTGGTCCAATCGTGTTGGTTGGACAGTCCGGGAGTGGATGGGGATCAAGAAGAATTTCAATGCTATTGCATTCTATCTTGACATAGCAGATATGCTAGCTAAAGAGGGTTACTGATACAGTATCCTCTGGTCTGCATCATGGCATGTATGAGTATTCTACGGCACGCATTCCTGAAATCTTAGAGATGGGATATACATGTAAAAGTAACTGCCATAATAGACATGAAATCAGTAGGCGCCTCTTCAGGTTAAGGGTTTCATCATGCTGTAGTTTGTTTCTGGAATGAGATTTCGAGTAGATGATTATTGTTGATTGCTTCAAACGAGTAGGTATCAGTAGCATTAGAAGATAGAATACAGCCACCTTGCCGCGAACACTCGACGAGAACCCGCCCTCCAGCACATTTGTCCCACGAGATCCGGTGGTATGTAGGTATGTACAAAAGATTTGCCAGTCAACTCTGCTATCCGTAAGAGATTTCGTTGGCAGTTGATAAGCGAGGAATTGGTGAGGGACGTAACCGGCAACAGTTGACTGGAATACGGGGTCACAGTCGGTCACCCGATGTGTCGCAGAAGGCACCTCGTCGTAACACCACATCTACCTGAGGCTCATAGTCCAAAGACGCTCATGACTATGCCTCAGGTCACGCTCCACTCTCCTTAACGTCGGCCTCATCCGTATCAAACGGCTTAGACGGTAGAGGCCTTGTTGGCTTTGCGAGCAATGGCCTTCCTGTAGAGGAAGAGGCTGAGAAGGCCAATGGCGACTATCCAGAAATTTAGCATAGTTACCAGACATCTTGGGTAAAAGACATGACATACCAACACCAACAATGCAAAAGACGACAATAACACCAGGCTCCTTGGCGGCCCAGTTTTGACGCTTGGCAAGCTGGTGGACGACCTCGTCGCGGGTCATGAGAGACTTGATGGCGGCCATTGTGTCTGGAGTGGAGAGATTGCTAAGGAAGACATGTTAGCAAACGAGTATTTTCTTGGCTCTGCGCCGCGATAAAGCGGCCGTAGGCAGACAGCCCACGCTTCACAAATTCTCGTCCTTTTCCACTGAGCGATACTGTCGCACCAATTCAAATGGGTTATGGCGGCGATGTCGTTCAATTGAGCAGCATAGGAGCGAGTCCAGAGCGATTCATCCAGGAAATGTTCTGACGGAATTCTTGGCAAATGTCACTGAAGACGCTGACGCCGGCATTTGCGCTAGGATTGCGACGACGTGCATGACTCCAGAACTGAGTAGACGGCCATTACACAGGAATTGGCTTGAGTATCGAGACGTACAATGGGCCCGGAGGCGGACGAGAAGAGCGAAAGAAGAGCAACGTGACTGTGAGTAAGGAATTGACCTACCTTTGCGATCTTGGAGGGTGATGAAGAAGCAGCAAGTGAATCTGGTCGCGAAGGCGGGCTCTTCTGTGGTTTTGTTGATCAGCTATCTGACACCAAAAGTCACCCAAGAGCTGTGAAAAGTGGAGAAAGCAGCGTCACGACCCGCGAGGAATCAGACTTTGTACCAAACGAGGGAAAGGATTCTGTACGTAAAATGGGTCCAGATCCCGGGCAACACCAGCTAAGAGAGGTCAAGGCGAGCGAGCAGGGTCTCTTTCAGTGGTTGCTTGGGTCCATAGTGTTAGTGGATACAAGCCCCAGGGGGGTGATCTCATCGTGGGAGAGCAGTGAGGTGTGGTGCGACTGAGGCCAGGCTTCGAGGAGGCACCAGGTGATGCCCATCAGGTACCTATCCTATCTCGAGACTCTGAGGCTTTTTGTGCATTGTACAATACTACCAAAGTCCAAGTACAGGATTTGATACAGGATTTGACGCCCTCCGAGTGCCCCGGATGAGGTGGATTTCCATGGAGGTGGTGATGATGATGCTCCAATCCAGAGACCAGGGGGAGTGAAGACCAGACCGGGGCTGGGTTACAAAGTGGGACTTACAAAGACGACAGGCTCTGTCTGCTAGGAACAAAACAAAAACAGAGCAATTGTCACTGGCAAGGATGTAGATCGATTGGAATTTTGCTGATATGGGCGTGTCTGAGAGGCCGAAAGAAGGGAGTTTTTGAGGTGCGAAAAGGAGTATGAAGTTGTACTTAGGACGATGCTGGGGTGGACAAGAGAAGAGAGATGAAAGACGAGATATTCCAATCTGTCTTTGGGAAGCTTCGCTGATGATGAGAAAAGTAGGTACACCTATGACGACGGGAGTGTAGGCAATGGCAAGGGCCAGGTAACGGAGCTGAAGCAGCAACTTCCCAACTTACAACGAGGGATATTCCAGGCAACACCTCTTTCTCTGTTACAGCTACGAAATTTAATTGACTGACTGTCATTCATAGCAATCAATAATCGCTCACTCAATTGACTTTTCATCTAAATCGACGCAACCCATACCTCATTCCGAGGTAGCTTCCATGTCACCAGATTACAAAGACCCGATGCTCATACCACTCAATGCTTGGTCAATTCCGCTCTCCACGAACGGGCCGCCGATACAGGGACGCTAGTCCCGGTGCAAGGTACGAGCGGAGATACACGATGAGTCTGTACTGCTCATCAACATTGCCGCGGGATAAAAAAAAACTGCTGGAACACACCAAGAAAACAGCTCGCCTTGACCAATGCGCAACTCGGAACACGGCAACTGAAGAAACGGTGCGGTGAGATTGTCAATCGCCCATGTGGGGAGGTCGAGACTCTATACCACTTGCGTCCATTCATTCATGGGTTCCACAGCCCACGAGGGAGGAAGCAAAAATGCCTGCAGCGAGCAAAGCTCGAGGTTTTGAATATGACAGTCTACACACGGTATAGTGCTGCTTTCCCACCAACAACTTGCGCGAATTTACTTCTCCAATATAGGGAGGCAATTGCCCATGGAAGGCTGTCAACTCCGTCCCGTCGGCTGCAACGGAATCGATTTAAACGGGTACCGCCTCCATCCATCATGGCAAGCCCATCTCTGGTAGGACGATGGGTATCATGCACGAGAGATTGCGCGAAGTCTCCGAAATGACGACAAATTCAGTATCCAGCCTCGTGCCGTTCCTGGACGGTTCTCGTAAAGGGTCGGTTTACCTTTCTGCATTGTTGTTTTTCTTATTTTCAGCCTCTGTTTAATTACATGAGTTATGGGAGATTATGCTTTGCCAACTTGATCAACATCTGTGTCTCGGCAGCTCTTGAGTGACCAATCAAACAAATGCGCAAAAGCTTAGCGCAGGCTGTTGTCTTCATGATATTGCATGAGCCATCGCCAAGCTTCCAAATACATATTGCCCTTAGAATGTGCTTCAGGCCTGTTGCTTCTTGTGATCATACTCTGTTATCAGGCTCCGACGGATAGCGGCCTCGGGCACGCCGCCGCTCTACAAGGACTTCTCAGTCACTCTCATTTTCACCTTGTTACCTGGGCCTGCTAGGTTCCATCCGAAGGGGAGATCCTCCAAAAAAACAACTCTCCACATCTTTTCCCCGAATCTCCACAATTACATGCGACACTGTGCAAGCTAAAAGCTTTGCTTGACCTGACATGCAAGGATCCAGCGACCGAGTCTGAAATCAAGCCTTATCGACCCAGTTTCAATGCCGGGAAGAAGCATGCATCCTTTGTTTCCGGCGCTATCCACGAACTTGCGACCGACTGTCATTCAATAACCAACGTATCGGAGAAGATCTTTGAGATGAAAGAGGTTGTTAACACCAGGACCCACGATCAACATTTGTCGCCATCCACAAACAAAGTCTCATCCTGCTAACTTCTAACGACTCTGGATAACACAACATGGGTTTACTGCTGCATGGCATGGGTCTGCCAGCATCATGAGAGAGCGCTGGGCTGCCGGCTTGGCGTGGAAAGTGGAGAGTCGGCATCCCATGGCTGACCACTGAAAGCATACGGATTGGTGCCACTGCAAGCCTCGAAACTCTCTCGATGGACATCAGTTCTCTTTTCCATGTCCGATATGGTTTATTCACAGGCAGGATTGTGAGCTGGTACTCGTTGGATTCAGAAGTCAGAAGTCCAGGCCCGGAGTTCTCTCAATTGAAATCCCGGCTGGAAGTCCCGGAGACGAGGGATAAAACGGCTATGCCTGCAAGGTTTCGCGCCCTAGTTGCCGACTTGTGGCCGGGACACCTCGCTATCACCGGGAGTTCACCCCAGCGCGACAACCGCCTACATTAGTAGTGTGATGAGGTCATAGGCCATTGGTACGTAAACTTGAAGGAGAGCGCCTTTACGAAATATCATGCTTATCTACGGCTGTAAGTGAGAGCCTCTACACGGCAACAATTCGGCTGCCTGGCTCGAACTGAAAACCCTTACCAGCCTGGCGAGGTTTTGCTATTACTGTTATGTGAGTACAGCCGTGGCTGGGTAGGCAGACCTTTACGCCTCGAAACATACATAGTACATTGAGGCATTCCCAGCGGCCGGGGCCGAGCTTGGCCAACAGCCTGAGGAAATGGTACAAATATCACGGCAGGCCAAGATATCGAGTTTGGAGAAACACGGATGCGGTCACGGTGGTCCGGGGGCTTTTGTATCTGCTGGGGGTTCGGCATGCCTTCTAGCCTTCCATAAACGAGAATGTTGCGAAATACCGACCCTGCGTACGACGCCAAGCTAGGAACGAATCCGCGGAAGTATGGGGTGCGTAATTAGTGGTATATCGTCACCAATGAACCCGACTATGGGACTTCGGCCAGGCAACATCGAATGGGTTAATAGCTTTATAGTGTCAGGCGCTGTCGAGGCCCGAATGTATCATTTTGGGGGCGGTCAGTGTTTCCACTGGATGATCGACACTTTCCTCTGGGGTTGACCAACGTTGAGCACCGGAAATCCATGCGCATGTAGTTGTTCTCCGCCTAGGAAATCATGATAAACCTGTAGATTAGTTGCCCTGAAGTTGCTCTGCTTGTTGTTTTCTGTGAGCGACTCCAGATGTATGATAGTCAATCTTGTCGATGATGAGACAAATGTTCACTCGCATGGCAAGGCTCGCTTTGACGCTATTTGTAGCCCAGGCGTATTGATTTTCTGATTTGCTCAGCTTTTGGTAATAACTATCCTGAATACCTAGTAGTAAGTTCTTATGAAACTTTATTTTTCTGCCAGACACGGTAAGCAACACCTTTACTTTGTATACTACATTTCAAAGCCCGATGCTGGTAATCAGCACACACAGTGTTGTGCGAGGTCGCCTATTGTTAAAGTGTTCCATCAACAGATCTCTGGCCTATCCATGCATGCATCACTCCTCGTCAGACTATTGGGTAACACGAAGATTGGATAGTTGTGCTTGGGCCCAGATTGGCATTTAGTGGTCGTAGCTAGAGTTTCCTCAATTACATCGTGAAGATTGTCTAATTCTTACTGGCGACGTGAGATAAGATATTGGTATAGGGTAGTCAGTGTATTATTCGGAGGACATATCGCTTCATTCTTATGGGTCCATCAACACTAATACAGGGCTAACAGCTGACCACAATAGAACCTAGGAGATGTAACATCTTGATCACTCGGCCTTGTCCCACACGTGTCTGACACCCTTGATAAGAGCCATGAAAGGGGATACAGCGGATTCGGCGATGTTGGTCCTTTCATAAGAACACTCCTCACTGCGCCATTTTCCTTTGCTAGGTAGTTCTTTCGACCTTCTGTTTCAATAGTCCAGAATTATTTCTCACCTCGGGCGACTCGAATGCACCTTCTCAACTTAGATCGTCGTCATTGTTGATTGGGCCTTGCTCGCCAACCTTTCACTAATTGTCCTAACCATTCCATTTCTGTATGCGCCCAATACTACGCATAGGCCGAGACCTTGGGATATACAGCCAACCTATCTAGGTACCTAACACCTACCACCACCCTGGTCTATATAATCACAAGTTCAAGATCGAATAGTGATAGTCGAGTGCCAAGTCAGCACCACCTAGAACCGCGTGTATTGCCCATTTTAACGGTCGAACGCACGTGAGATGGCACCTTCGTGGGCAAATGATTTACGGCGTCTCAACCGCAACAACTTTACGACTCTACAGACAGCGCCATGGGCTGAAATATCGGGGTCACTGGGTGATCTTGGCACCTTGCTGCCTTTGATGATTGCCTTGGCAGCACAAGGATCCATCGATTTGGGAAGTACACTGGTGTTCACGGGCTTGTTCAATATCCTCACTGGCGTATTCTATGGTATTCCTTTACCTGTTCAGCCCATGAAGGTGAGTATCCGAGCAACACATTCGTGTCAAATTACAACAAGGCTTACCTCATGTGTTACTGTATAGGCTATTGCCTCAGCAGCCATCCAGAATGGCTCTCCTATGGGTGTCGTCACGGCTGCAGGCCAATGGGTTGGTGCTGCCGTACTCATCATGAGTGTTACAGGTCTCCTGAAGGGGGTTGTCCGTGTTGTACCACTCCCAGTAGTAAAGGGTATTCAGTTGGGAGCAGGCCTCTCGTTGATTCTCGGCGCCGGATCTTCTCTGCTTCAGCCTCTGCACTGGGGCCATCCTGCTCTTGATAACCGTGTGTGGGCTTTGATCGCTTTCCTCGTTCTAATCGGCACACAAAAGCTCTCCCGGTTCCCCTATGCTTTGCTCTTCTTTATACTAGCCCTTTTATTCGCCTTTATTCAGGTCGCTATTTCTCACGAAAGCCTCCCGTGGCTTTATGCTTGGCACCCTCGCTTTGTCATGCCGCACTGGGTCGGAAAGGGTGATTCGCCTGCCCTGTGGATGGCCATCGGACAACTGCCTCTGACCACACTCAACTCTATCATCGCCGTCAGTGCACTGTCCCAGGATCTTCTACCCGAACTTCCCACTCCCTCGGTGACATCAATCGGAATCAGCGTTGCGCTGATGAACTTGAGCAGCACCTGGTTCGGAAGTATGCCTGTCTGCCATGGTGCCGGGGGATTGGCCGCCCAATATCGCTTCGGAGCTCGAAGCGGCTCCAGCATCGTCGTACTGGGAGCTTTCAAGCTAGTACTGGGGTTTATGTTTGGCGAAACTCTCGTAGATCTCTTGAAGCACTACCCCAAGAGTCTTCTTGGCATCATGGTGATAGCAGCTGGTCTCGAGCTCGCTAAGGTGGGCAACAGTCTCAACCAAGGAGCCTCCGATTTATGGAACACGGCTGCAGGTCAGGGACTGCTTCGACAACGCGATCTTTCAGATGATGAACGTCTTGAGAGATGGACTGTCATGCTCATGACCACTGCTGGAATTCTCGCTTTCAGGAACGATGCTGTGGGGTTCTTTGCAGGCATGCTCTGCCATGGAGCGTATCGTCTTTCGGAACGATTGACAAAGCGATACTCGCACCGTGCATTTTCAACTGAGCATGAGGCCCTGCTTCACTGAACTTTCGGCGCTTTCACTGTATGCTACGAAGACCCTATGAATACGCATTTCGCATGGCGTTTTGTTTCTTCTCGGACGATATGGGTATCAACTTTGGGTGGTCGTCTTTGCTTTTCTCGGTATGAGAATATCAAAGGATAGTCTGCATCGTAGAAACTATATGTTAGCATCCAATATCGAAAATGCCCCTAGAGTTTGTTATGTGGTGTTCGATTTGATGGGCGTATTTTGACCATACATTACTATAGCATTATTCATGTGAGTTGATGATAAGCTTTGCTCTGAACATTTTGTGAAAACGTGAGTCTCGATAGGCTTCTCAATATACTCGTCATGCATTGCACAGAGTGAGGGTAGAATATAACATGGCTACCTAGTTTCTGAATGTAACTCGTAGGGTTGTCATTTTTTAAATGTTAATACGTACTCCGGAGTGAGGGGCCACGCTTAATCGTTCAATTGAATGGTTTTAAGGAACCCGATCTGATTCGGAATAGGAACTTCATTATGCTCATCGAAATGCTTATGTGCAGATAGCTTCATTTACACCCTGAGCAACAGGGTAGGCTGGCGCAGTAAGGGAAAACGCAAAAGATTGCACTACTGGTCCCCAACTAAATTGTCATATACAGAATGAGAGTCCCCAGAAATGTCAAGTCAGGACGGTACGATATAACATGCTAGAATTGATAAGTCTTCGAACATAATACAAGTCACTCAGAAGTGACAAAGTGGGGCTGGATCTGAGTGACATTGAAGATTGGATATTTTTTATGTTATCGAGGGTTCGAGAAAATGAATAAGATCGGCTTTTGTTTACCTATGAAAGTTGAAGCATTGTTCCTAGAGATCTCTATTTTGGTTCCTGAACAATAAGGAATAAACCTACAACTCAGGTAGGTGGCTGACAGCGCGGGGAGAGAACTTGAGTACCACCATGTGTACCTTACTCAAGGGGAGATGCAGTAAGGTCTTTGCCTGAGGTAACACTTGCTTATCAGAGTCGTCTACCTTACAAAGGTGATTTATGTCTTCTCTACCTGCCTCTTGTTAAAACAATATCGAAACTGGTTCCTTCAATCTTCGCACAAGTAAATGCCTGGGAAAGTGCAACCCAACAAGGTCATATTCGTGATTGCGACTTCCTGATTGCCCAAAGCGTACTAGCGGCGCAAAACATCGCGGTCAACCGCCAATCTAGCAAGTAAGAGGAGACTCGGGGTCCGTGAAGGAAGGAAGCCCCTCAGCTGACCTATCAAAACGTGCAGCCTTGCCCGCCCTGACCATCTCAGTTATCGCGGCTCAAAGGACCCAGAAAGCCTCGCCCGCTTGAACCTTTTATTTTCCCCGTCTCCAGCCAACGGCGATACCTTCTGGATTACACCCTGAGGTGAGGGCGAAGTGACGAAGGAGCTGGTCGCACGAGCAGCGATGACTTCGTCCATTGCTGGCCTGAATGGCCTGCAAAACAGCCTGGGTGCCGACAGAGATACCCAGGCTGTCGCATCCAGGACCGTGACAACGACATCAACAGAAACAGAAACAGAAACAAAAACACAAACACAAACACAAGCTGCGTCTTCACCAGCTGCGACGCCATCAAATGCGACTCCCACCCCATCTGCGACAAAGATAAACGCGACTTCGCATTCACCGACGAGCAACGACGAAAACCGCGATTCAAAAGTTGCTGACCCGGCACCGGCCAAACCCCCGGTCCCAGCGCCTTCTGCTTCTGCTTCTGCTTCTGCCTCAATTCAAACTTCAAGCTCAAATTCAAACGGAAACTCTGCTGGGGTTTCCTCCTCTTCGACTATGGCCAAGACCGTCGACGCTTCAAAGTCAACTTCCACATCCACTCCCGCGCCTCCCTCGACTGCCATCGTACCAACTGTATCTGCTTCTCGTCCAACAGTCTCATTAAACCCTTCACCCGAAGAACCTTCGGCTGCTCTTGCACCAAAGGCCGCAACCCCTAACCAAGAATCAGCATCTTCTGCCCCAGCGAAAGTGTCGGACTCTCGACCTTCACCATCTACGCCGCCCTCGACTCACGGCGTCCCGAGCGCTCCTGCCATAGCCGCTAATGCTACCACATCAACATCACAGCAACAGCTGGAGATGCCATTGAATACCGCGGCCTCAGCTCATGTGAATGTTAACTCTGGTGATCACACCATGCTTGACGCTTCTACTCCTCGCGATGCGGCTGCAACATTAAACGTTGATCAAGCTCAACAATCTACACCCTTGCAGCTACAGATGCAGGCCGACAACTTAGGAGAACAGTTTGCGCCGTCGACTCCTTATGCTGCAACATCGATGCCCACCATCAACCAGCACGCTTACATGATGATGGCACTGGCTACAATGTCAGGGGCCGCGACAGCCATGTCACCACCTCCCACAGTCACACCAGCTCAGGTCACTTTGCCTAACCCGTTAGACGAGTCTTTCCAAGGCATCGCCCCGACAAATTCGACGCGCCAAACAGATTCCCACAAGGCTCTTGAATCCTTTGCACGTATTGAATTTGCCGACAGCGTGTTTCAGATGACCACCTATGCTGTCATAATTGGACGAGATCAGCGTGCGCTGGAGCAGGCACGCCGTGACGAAAGACGTGCCGAAGAGTATCGGCGACGTACTGAAGAGAACGTCCACCTAGGTCTCCCGCCACCTTCCCCGATACACCCAGATCGAAGCAAGTTCAGCAAATCCTATGTCAGTGAAGAGGGAGGTATGCTGGGTCCCGAATCAGATACTGGGGAAAATCCCCGACCAACAAAAAGGCGTAAGACGAGTACACAGGGGTCATCACAGCACGACTTGGATGAAGCGGCAGCACAAGCTCAGGAAAACATGATTTCTAACCGACAATATGTTTCTCATACGCCTGGTGCTGCAGCAGTTGATTTGGGCTCTCTGCGTCCCTCGCCATACCATGTTCCGTTCATTGGTATTCACTCACCGGGTCCAAACATTGCTTCCAAGACGAAAGCAATTTCCCGGGAGCATTTGAAGATCGCATACAATCAAGACATGGGTGTCTTTGAAGCTATACCCCTTCATAAGAATGGGTTCTTCTGTGAGGATGTGCACTACAATCGCGAAAAGCTCGTCCTGCGATGCGGCGATCGATTGCAAATCAAAGACGTCGACTTCCGATTTCTCATCAATGGAGTTGAGAGGGGCCGAACGGGTGCCGAGGAGGATATCGAGGAAGAACCCGTCATGGCCCTCAAAAAGCGACACGCCCAAGGCGGAAAAGAGATGAGTTTTGATTTTGAGTCTGCACATGGTAACGGCGAAATTCAGGACACGAGCGATGAGTTGTCTGATGTGGCCAGCCCACCTGAGTCTCCTGACTTTGGTGACGGCGATGAAGATGAGGCTGAGGCAGAAGCAGAAGCTGAGGAGCCAGCAGCCATCCAAACAATGGAGACAGTCCAAGAAAAGGAGGCCAAGGCTGAAGCTGATATGGAAGAGGAGGCAGATGGTGAAATGGATGCGGAAGTGGACATGGACATGGACATGGATATGGACATGGATATCGATGACATGACAATGGCAGGAGCAGAATCCGGATTGAAGCATGAGGGCGTGCTTGATCCCCATCAAGGACATTTGATGCCTCAGATACCCAAAAAGAGGGGGCCTGGCAGGCCACCCAAGAATGGCATTATGTCGAAACGAGAGCAGCGGCTGCTGAAGAAGCAACAGCAAGAGATGGCCAAGAAGACCTTACCACAGGCGCCTCCAGTAGAGCCGCCAATCAAACGCAAGGTCGGACGGCCCCGAAAACATCCTTTGCCGGAAGGATCCTCGGAGAGACCAGAAAAACGCAAGTACAAACCTCGCAAGCCTCGGGAGGACGGTGCTGAAGGTTCAGATGCAGAGAGGCGAGCAAGAGAAAAGAAGGAGAAAAAAGCTCGACCAAAATCCCCTCCCTTGGAGCTCAAGATCGAGGACTACACCGAAGAACAGCTCCAAAAGCCGAACAAGAACTATGGTGTGCTTATCGACGAAACGCTTACCGCGGCTGGACCGGACGGCCTTACGCTCAAACAGATTTACAAGCGCATTTGTCAGAGATATCCCTGGTTCTACTTCCATACAGAAACGAAAGGCTGGGAAAGTAGTGTGCGTCATAATCTTATTGGAAATGAGGCTTTCAGAAAAGATGAGACTACGAACCTTTGGTCTCGTGTTCCAGGTGTTGAACTCGATGCTGGTAAGAAGAGAAAAGCCTCGTCACCAGATCGTGCAGCAACACACGCGTATGGTCAATATCCAGCTCCGTATGCCTATAATGCCCAGCATATGGCACCTGGAGCTCCTGGCTACCCCCCTGGCCAAGCACCTCCTGGTTATCATATGCCAACATATACGGCACAGCAAACACAGCCAGGGCGGCCAGCGCAGCCATATGGTGCGTCTGCATCACCACCAGCGCCTGGTCAACCAACCCCAGTAGCGGTGGCATCACAACCGCCGGCGCCAGCACAGCTACCACCAGGTTACGGACCTCCGCCAGCCCCTGCGCGCCCACAGCTTGGGGTGCCCCCCCAGGGTACTTACAGCTCTCCATACGCACCACGGCCACCCCCACCAGCAAACACACCGATCAAGAGCGAGGAAGGGCACGCCAATGCTACAGCTGCTGCTGCTGGCGCACCCCTTGCGCAGCAGCAGCAACAGCAGCACCATCCCCATCCCCCAGTGCCTCTGGCTGCAGCTGCGAAGACTGTGCCTGGAACTGGACCGCCACAGGCGCAACAACAGCCTGCCACTCCTGTGAACCGCACCCCATCGGTTTCAGCAGCGTCTCCCACAGCCCGCTATGCCATCGAGCCCAAGTTGCTCGCTGCAGTTGTCAAGCTGAAGAGCGGTCTGATTGAAAACCTTAAGAAGGCTCGTAACCCCAAGGCCGAAGGGATTGTCATGTCAGCACTCAACCGCTGCATCGGCCTTAAAAAAGAAGCGACCGAGAACGACAAAATGGAGACGATTTGCATGAAGGGCATCCGCCAGGTTGTTGATGCTTACATGAAATCAAAGAGTCCCACACCTGGGCCCGCGTCTTCTGGCTCCCCTTCTGCTGCCGAGACGCTGCCTTTCTTTGATGCCAAAGTTCTTGCGTCCATCAATGGCTTCAAGGATGTCTCAGTCAAAGCTCTCAACCCAAAGCTTGGCGAAGCCAAAGCGGAGGCTGTCACGTTGTCCGCTATTGACCGAGTACTAGGCATAGCAGACGCTAGCATTGTCCCACCACCTGGTGAGGGTGAGGCTGTTGGCAACTTCGAAGGGATCGAGCTGCACCTCATGAAATCCATTCGACAGCTTCTGACGGGTATGAACCAGAAGGTTTGAGATCGTGATTTGATGTTGTTGCTGTTACAGTCACTGAGCTGTCACCTCTGGATTGACCAGAGTCAAGTTCAAGGATACTGCGAGGGTTAGAAAGAGGTAGTGGAATACTAGAGTAGGGTACAATGCTTTTCATGGCGTTTGGATGGTCTAACGACGGATACGACCCAGGGGCGCTGGACTTATTTTACCAAGGCTCAAACGTCCCAAACAAAGGACCCTGTATGCTTTCGGGCAATTTTTTCATGATAGGGTTACATGTCGAGCCAAGAAGCTTGATCCAAAAAGGTACATGGAGTTTCTTGTTGGGGCGATTGATGCCCCTTTCTTCTCTTGTCTCATATACCTCTAGAGCAAGCGATCGTCTTATCCAATTCGATATTTCATGAACTTTTCCCTGCATTCATTGCATTTGCGTGAGGCTATGTGAAGTTCAGAGCTTAACTGCCCGCCCCCCGAACTCAATCCGTATTCTGTGCTCAACAGAAAACTCTCCATCCAGTCCAGGTGGCTCTCGATTGCAATAGGTTTGTGTCACTCAAATGTAAAGATCTTCGTTCACATTACGACCACGAGAAAAACAAGATTTCAAGCCACTAGTACGTACCCCATTCAGAGGGACGCTCATTTTCTCCAGCTCAGCAAATCATCCTTAGGCTTCATGTTTGTAAAAATGCCAGTAACAAAAGCCGTCCTCATCATCATTGTCTCTTGTAACATGACGTGTTCGTTCTTGTTCGCCAGTCGCGGCCCATGCATATCCACTACCAAAGGGATGAGCTGAGATTCTCCTCCACTTTCCATTGCATAGCATTCCATCCACGTCTGTTTGTTTCATCACCATATCTTATTGAGATTTCCAGTTTTCCCCTGCGCCCGAGGTATCAAGTAAAAATAAAAGGATTAAACTTCTATATGAGAAGGGGGGTAGGAAAATGTGTAAGGGAAGTTTTGTTAGGGAAGGACCAGATACGCCTCACACCAATTAAAAAGAAATTTGTAAGTAATGCCGTGTGCGTGGCATTGATCAAGCTGTCTGTGGGATCTCTTTCTCTTTCTCGGACTCGAGGCTTGACTTGGCTTCTTCAGCCTTTTGGCCCGCGAGTTTGTCGACGCCAGAAACACCGCTGTCAGCTTCGTCGTATGAAATTCCCAGGCCGTTGGCTTCCTTTCGGGCCGAACCAGCGTCCTCTTCAGCCCCTTCGTCGAGGTTCATCAGAGCCGGTGGGCGATGACGCATCTGCTTGGCTTTAGAAAGAGAAATTGTCTTTTGTTGGTACGTCGTAGTGATGGGCTTCGTATCATCTCGATCAATTGTTGCCTTCATTAAGGCCGCCATCCATAGGCGACCTTGCTTTAGATTGGGAACAGCGAAGTAGTGAACGGTTGGCTTTGTGAAGTTCACAGCCCTGGACAGGCCAGCTCGGGGAGGAACCAGCTTGAAGATGAAGATAGAGTCATCTCCCTTCTCCAAGTTATCATCGCCATTCTGGGATGCAGGCATTGACTGACCTCCAAGGCTTGTGATCGTAGCATGAAGACCTGTGAGTTTCTCATTGTCTGCTGGTAGAACTCGATGAAATGAGATATCGATGAGTCCCTTTTCTTGGTCGTCATCTTCTGAGTAATAATATGCCAGCCGTCGGCCCTTGAGAACAAAGAAACGAGGCTTCCAGGTTGTCATGAGGTTGGAACTCTTCTTCCTCATCCAACCACTATAATCGGCATCTTTGCTTGCTTCTTTTGGCGAGATTTTGAGCAGCCCGCGGGTGTAGGCGCTCGTTTCCTTCTTGCCCTTCTTACCAGCCTTCTTGTTGACCTGGGTTACAGGAGTATTGGGACTCTTGGCAGTGTCGGGAGATTCAAGATCGAAACTTGCTCCACCTGATGGAGTTGTCGAGCCGGTTCGCGCAGGTGAGTCGACCAAGAAATCTTTGTTCGATGAGTCCGTTGGAGTTGAAGCCTTCGATCGATCAAGGCTAAGGTTATCAGATATGGCCCGCATACCCTTTCCTCCAGCCAGGGCAATGGGTTTGTTGACCATTGATGACAGCCAGTCCGAGTTGAAACCTTGATGTCTCGATGATATAGGTGAGGCGGTTGAGCGAGCGGAACTGACTGAAGTGTCCAGTTTGGTGACGGTGGGTGAAGGAACGTCGTTGGGTGGCGGCATATTCATCGTTGATTCCGAAGCGGCTGACGCAGTTCTCCTATGAGCGCCAGACTGAATACCGTAGTACTTCTGAGCTGCTGACGAGATACCCCCTTCCGCAATAGACCCCACGCTACCGAATCTTGACTGTCGTGCCATAGCTGTGGCACTTCTAACCCTTTGCTCTTCCGCATAGCTTGACTTTCTCGATTCAGCATTGCTGTCGCGCTTTCGCAATAAGTTTCTTTTCCTCCCATCCACCTCTGTTCCAGAGAAGTAACCCCGATCAGCGTCGACAGTAGAATCCTGTGCTTCTGCTCCCGATGGGCTAAGTAAATCTTGAAGACCAGTTGAAGAAAGGGGCCGCTGGGGGGGTTGCGAATAAGCGTTGCCCAGGGTCCAGTTTCTGTCAAATGATGGTTGCTTTTTATGGGCGGTCTCGCTTCCGGGGAAAGTACCCGATGTCGCGATCCTAGGAACGGGAACGGCTGGGCTTGCCGCCGCAGGGCCAGCTTGGCGAAAATCAGTTGACGAAGAGTGTCGACGCGAATGGTTCAATTCCCTGATCGATGCCGCGGATGGCCGCTTGATATGACTAGCGCGGTTAGAGCTCTCTTGCGCATGAGATCCTCCAAATGTTGGAGATGCCTTTGGCGTATTCTGTGATAAGGAGAGTCGCCTCGTCTGAATAGAAGTGGGCCGATTGGTTAGGGTGTTTGCTCGGCTCCGAGATCTACGGCCTTCTTCTGAACCATCGTTTCCAAAGGTTTGCGTCGTACGTCGTGTCTCCAAGCCTTGGTTACTCACTTCATCCTGAAGTGCCTTGATCTTGTGCCAAGTCTTGAGGCGCCGGCCGACAGACCCAAGATCGAACGCCTTGATGAACAGTGAGCTCTGATCCATACCGAGGATAACCTCGCCGGATATCTCCTGGTCTCTGAAGACCTCGCAATGGTGCTTTTCGACTCCCGACGTAAAAAGATATTCGGCAACATCATCAGGAGACCACGATTCGACTTCGTCTCGTGTATGAAAACCCTCCTCTTCTTCGTCAGTCTCTTCACCTTGGATGTACGATGCTCGTTGATCGGGATGGGTGCTGCTGTATTCGCTTCCAGAATCGTTCGCTATCGCTCGGAGTCCGCCGTTGCTCGCAGGTGATCGTAAATCGGTAATGTGCTCGTCAATAACAGTGAGCGTTTCATGCAAGACAGGGCTGTCCTGATTCTGAGTCGTTAGCTGGCTCAAGGCGGGCAACACAGGTGGCTCGCTTGGCACCAGTGTGGGTTCAGATTTGACGTTATTGAGAGGTAATGTCACAGGGTTCCTATTTTGTGGTTGTTGCAACTCGTTCTCTTCTTTGGTACCTGTATCAGCGCTCGAGTTCTGAGCCTGTTCTTGCTGAGCAGTCTGGGCCTTTGAAGCACTAAAAGTGCTCGTGGGAATATTTCTTGGGGCTGGCCTAGTGTAAACTGCCAAGTGTCAATCAATGTTCTCGCCGTGGGGTATAGAGCAACGTTTTAAGCACCAACCTTCAGGAAAGAGTCCATTGTTATTGTTTACCAGATGACGGCCGAGGAACCATCCATCACCAAACTCGTCGTCTCGTTCTATGAGTTCAACTCGGTCGCCCTTCGCAAGACTAAGTTCATCGGAGCTTCGAGCCTGGAAATCATCTGCAGGGTTGAGAAACGAAATCAGTATCAGAGGATACTATAGACAAAGAACGGGAAGCCAGAGGATAGACATACGTATCACAATCAAGGTGTCGCCAACTTCTGGCTTGGGCGACCCTTCATTGGGGCCTCGTGAGGCCATGATGTGATGAAGCGATGCGCTGGTGATGGTTGAGGCGATTGCGTTGATGTCGGACGTTTGAGGCCGTGCAGGGAGGAATGGAGTGGCAGTTTAAGGGCGGTTGGAAACTCTGCGGAACCTGACGGTGGCGCGGGACCGAGCCTGATAGTTACAGCGGGTAGCCAAGAAAGAGGCTTGTCTGTAGAGTGAGGGAAACAGAATGATATCTGACTTGTACGCCATCCACCGAACCAATACTCCGTCGCCGTATTGCCAGAGCTGGGTTCGGTCGGTTCAACTCTCCACAGCGAAAGAGCTGGAGATGATGCGTAAGTTGGGTATAATAGCTTGAGGAGACACCAAGCCCGCCCGTGGCTGAGGTGGTGCGCTAAGGTACGAATGCTTTGCTGGGGTGGAGCAGTTGTCGCGGTTGGGGAAGAAGTGTGAAGTGCGTGGTCCCTGGACAAGGCGAGATGCCTACCTTAGCGTGGAAGGCTGCGATTGGTGCGACCCAGCAAGGGTGAGGAGGCAAGAAAACCTAGGACCTCTTTTCTAAGTGATGAAAAGACTTAGGTAAGTTTAGTATATCTTAGCAAGCCTCTAGACCAGTTTATTTTGACACCCTAATTCAAGGTCAGAAGTTTTCTTGCTCCCTGGGGGCCAGGCCACAGACATATGGCTTCGATAAAGGGCTGTAGGCTAGGTCACAGCACGCACGGCCGATCGTATCAAAAACGCCCGAAGACTCAAGGTTGTTTGTTGTTAAAACAGTCGATCAAGTAGGTGAGAAGATGCCGGTAACGGTTCGACAGAAGCAGAATGGGTGATGGGATAGGAATTGACTTGCTAGTGGAGGTAGTAAACACTTTATTCCATACAGTGCATCGACCCCTCCAGTCCAGTACAGTCCTGGGGTCTCCGGGATTGGATGATGCAGTCGACCCTTTGCAGATACTATTTTAAGATATTATGGATGCCAGCAAAGCGGGCTCGACATGAGCAGGAGCAGGTGTTGGTGTCTTGACTTCCTAGATTGCGTTATTGGCTTTGAGCAAGAGGTCTTTTCCCTGAGCAACGATCACCCAGTTTGACGGATAACCCCACTAGTAGGTGAGATAGATAAGATTATTGAAGAATGAAGTGGTTGTACATGGGTCGCGAATGCTGGCGATGCAGCAAGCCGGTGATAATGCAGGCTCAGGGCCAGCTTTCAAGTGGGACAAGGCAAACAGATATGGCTGAATATTGAGCTGATTGCGTTGATTTGAGGTGTTGAGGCCCCGCGATGGTTCACCGGCAGTCACGGACACGGGCATTGCAGAATCACCAGACTTGAACAGACAGATGGAATGGGGTATGGGAGGAACTCGTTCTTACTGTTTCCATCTGTTGGCAGAATACATGACCTGACTACTTACGTGTTGTGTCATAAGGTGCTCACTAGTGGCCCTAGATTCACGATGGAAATGATGAGGGCCATATGGCTCATAAGAAAAGTAAGGAATGCCATCGTGACTATTCGCACTCTGTAGTTATCGTGCAATCAAAAATCCTGGCGCAATAATGAACTGGCTGTTGTTTATTGGTATTTAAATCTACCTAAGCCCCATTGATACCCATGTCAAGCTGGATTATAACCATGGGTGAGACACCATTTGAGTATAAGCCAACGTTGGCATATACTTGCTATGACAACTTACAGGGTTGTTTGATTGATGTTGATATTCTATAATAGCATGATCGCGGCTCTCCGGAATCGTGGTAGGGGCCTGCTTTTATATGAGCAGAAAATTCGTAAACAAACGGAAATTACAGTGTTCTTGAACTCATGGGACGTTGGTTACCAACCTACATCCAGTTACTCACTATTCATATGAGGACATGAGGCAGGGCGCAGGTCGTGTAACGCATAATTCTTCAAACTAATATGGTTTGTGCACAATACGACTTTTGGCTGTTTGAAGCATAAGGCAACATGAGTCGTCGTCTGGTGAGAATTGGATCTCCACACGGTGCGTGTATGAGCCAACGATTCGAGGCAAATAATTGACGGCGGATGTTTTGAGTACGATAACGGATAACTACCTTACCTTATTAGTTCACCAGAGTTTAAATAAACGAGAACCCCAGTCAACGCCAACGCCATTGCCAACACCAAGATCACATCACATCACATTCTCCCCGCTCTCACACTTTTTTTTCTCAAACAAAAAAGAAGGGTCTATGGTTGCGCCTAATCACATAATAACCATCAAGCACTGTCTGAGCGAAAATAGCGGTAGCGTAATTCAAATTTGGTCTTTGAGAGGGGAAGCATCTCGATAAGAAAACATCCAAGGGTACAGACCTCGATAAAACATCTATTTTTGAATAACAACGAGGAATATGGTTCATGCTGTGGCCTGAGACATTCAGGCGCAATTGTAAACACAAATAGAGACTTCCACCAAACATATCTATCAGCCATTTGAGAACTCGAACATCGGCTGACTGCAGCTACCTCGATACCTCAGAACTGCAAGATGTCAACCTATGACTACCTTAGGTATGGTGTATTTGTCGTACTTCGTTCTTTTCCCTCCATTTTCTTTGTTTGTTTATAGCTGAAGCGTTCCTTCGTTGGCGATACACCAGGTACCTATCTTGGGTATCTTCCTTTGTTCGATCATATTTCTGCCATGGAAGGCGCGGCTGCCTGCGCTTGCACCTTTCTCATTAGCAGCTTTTCGAGGTTGGGCTGTTGTTGGTGAGGATGCCCCAGGGTTTCTCCGCTTGCCTCCAACCAACAATATTCACACATCCCCCATCCATCTACCTACCTACGCAGCTACGCACACCCATCCCTCTGATAAGTCTGGTGCTCTTGATATCGGCCTTTCTTCGACCTCAAATTTCTTCCACTGCAGGCTGTGCTGTTGGGTTGATTTTGCTCGTCGAGCTGCGTTGACAACATCGCTGTTTGTCTTGTCTTGTCTTGACTTCACTCACCTCAACCACTTCGCTCTCGATGTTGATTCACGACCCTCGCTGCCTAAATCTTGCGAATTCACTTCGCTGAACCATGATTGACTTTGCGGCGCTCTACTTCAAAAAGCGGCGACGTTGAAGCATGATTCCAAGTAGTGTTCCGGGCCCAGGTTTCGAAAGCAGCGACTCTAGATCGTGACCCAGATCTTCATACCAATAGACACCATACATCTGTGAAATGCCACATACCTCAAAGTCGAATCAGTCATGGGCTATCACTTCACCCGATGCTCAACAGATCGCTTCCTCCAACCAAACTGTCAATTTCCTCTTTGGTGGTCGCGCTCGCTCATGGATGACAGGGGACCCATCGGCAACAACCAACCCTACTAGACTTGCTCCAGTAGCCTCCAGTAATTCCCGGAAACGGAACAAAAAGAGAAAGGTGTCTGACGCTGCTCCCCCAACCCAGAACGACAATGACATACATCGCGACAATAACCCGACCGAGCAATCATTTGAACAACGACCAAGTGCCGGAGAACCAGCAAGGTATATGATCTACCCCTAACTAAAGACCCCTTCCCATCCTCTCAGGTATGCTGTTTTGCCAAGCAACAGATCCTTGGCTGCGTCTCGTAGCCTTGCATCTCCTTCTAGGATTTGCAGTATCGCCACCAACGTTGAAGTTGCTTACATTCACCAACATTTCTGACTCGGTTTGATAGAGCTTCGACCGTCCTACCCTCTCCGGCGCTGACCGATGCACCAAGCCCGAATGTCTCGAATCAAACCGACAGCACTAATCCCGATCCAAGCGCTCACGTAGGCAGCGCAGGGCCTGGGGGGCCAGTCTCTGATAGTAACATGAACCAAAGCGACTCGACACACGTCGCGACTAATACCAACTACCCAAGCTCTACAGCCGCCGTCTCCCTTCAGCCCAAGACTTCTATGCCACAGCAAAACTACGTCACTCAAGCGACAATTCTACCTACGGCGACCAGTCCTACGTTAGCTAATCAAGCTCCTCAGGCAACAGCCTCGCCGCTTTCCCACATAGAAATACGCCCTCAAAATCTAGGAGCGCCTCTAGAAACGAACTCGAGGCAGCATATAAGACCACCCACTGCTATTGATCATCAAGCAAAGCGCCCTCGGGTCCAAGAAGCAACAAGTTCGGGAAATTCCAGAGACCGAAGTATCTGTCTAAAATGGTACAACTCGATCGAGCACCGCGTGGCGCAAGCTGTCCATGCCGGGCTCCTGAATGAAACAGTTGAAAAACCACGATATAGGATCTTGGCGGAAGCATGCCAGAACGAGGATTTCTTCTACATTGCTTTTCACCAGGCACTTTGTGCTTGGTCCTTAAACAGAGGGCCGATTCATGCGCTCTTCCTTGGATTAGTGCAGCCAAACCTGCTGGATGCTGCCTTTGACGTAGCGCAAACCATTCTCAGGAAGAATGAACATATGTCCCATGCACATCTGCAATGGTTTGCCAACTTCCCCAGTACCATCGCCGAGTTCTCAAGGGTTTTCCCCAATACAGAAGCGGCTAGAGACATTTCTGCGTTTCTCATCCAGCTGGCAACAAACTGGCATACGCTCTCACAAAATGTTCAGGCACGAAGGTATCCTTTGCTCGCATCTGAGCTGATATTCATCCTACGCTGCCGAGCCAAAGGTCTACAGTCTATGCTGTTCACCATGAGCCGCAGAAGCCTTGGCGTAAATGACGGTCCTGTAGCAGGTGCGATGAACGTCATTTTTGATCAGGACAGGGAGGACGAAGCTGCATACGAGGCTCGCGGTGAGCCCCCTGAAACCCTCAAACGCGCCAGGGAGGCAATTGCGATGAAATATCGGGACCTTGTTATGTCGGCGGCGCAACGAGCAGCATCCAGTACGTTTCCCCAGAATTCGCTTTCTATTTTGACAAACTACTCACTCTTGCGGCCAAAAGATGCAGGCTCGAGTGCTCATATAGTTGCACAACGTGGACATCAATCGCTACCACCTACAACAACTAACCTATCTTATCCCGTGCATACCGCATCGGCTTCATCTCCTTCTCTCTCCTCGCATTTCGATGCATTCGCTGTTAGGCCTTCAGTAGGCGACCCAAGGGTGGTAAGCCCGGGGTCTGTGAATAACCACTCGCCTTCGACAGGCAATAGTGTCAGCGGGATTCAGGGCCCGCGACGACCGAATCACCTTCACATCCAAACCGATACTGCAACATCGTCGCCTCATTTTGTCACTGCCTACCAGTCTCCCCAGTTATCACAGCATCCATTACCCAGGTCGTCAAGCGCTGGGTCGCTCCCCATACAACCAAACCGCGGATCTCCAGTTACGACTAACACTCCTGTAATTCCATCGAATGGCCCATCACGAACAGCTATTTTACCGCCAAATAATCCTCTATTACAACGACGAGCAGCCTCGTTTGCGCATCCATCCCAGACGCTTCCTAGCCCTTACGGGACATACACCGAAAACCAAGCACCGCACCACCAGCTGGCAGGAACGGCGCAAGTCTCGAGTCCAGTTTCACAGATGAACCCTCATCATCATGGCCAGCCTATGCAGTCCCCACAGTTTCAAACGGCATACAATCAGTTGAACCCGCCTCGCAGGGCATCTACGTCGCAGTATAATATGATGTCAGCCCCGTCAGCTCATGTTTATTCCGCTCAGCCGATTGGGCCACGAAATCCAGCATACCAAGTACCAGTCGCTAGCTATCCGCATTCACTGGCTGGGCCCGTTCAGCAAATACCGGAAGCCGACTATCCAGCTAGCCCGTATGGCTATGGCTCACTTCAAGTTGGTTTGCAGCATGTCGGTGTACGCAGTCCCAGGCGTGTTCCCTTGAATCCTGGCAAAATTCGACATTATCAGTTTGTCAGACAGCTAGTATACCAACCCCTAGCCCTTAAGCCTCAAAGGGGACTGCGGTCTCTGTCTTTCAACGTGACAAAAGATCAGATACAAAAGTTAGCAAAGAAAATCGAGGGGATTGGTCTTCCATTTTGCTACTATTCCGAGGGCTGTCGTCGTTACCGGCTGCGTATGATTGTGCAGCCTGAGACACAAGCTGAACCATCTGAGTCAGATTGGGTGATGTCTGCAACATGCTGGCCTAGCCATATTTTTTTTGACCTGAATTCGAAGTCCCTTGAGCTGCGACGAAAACAACATTTTCATAAAGATCAACCGCTGGAGTTGACAGATTTCTTAGTTGAGGGCGAGAACAAGATGACCATCAGCTATCCTGTTGTTGAACAAAATTCCAAGCCGGGATATAAGCATTTCATGGCGATTGAGATAGTGGAGACAATGAGCCATGGGGCGATTACCGACCTTCTACACTCACGACACCTCCCAGCAGAGGAAACGAGGTACAAGATAATATGTCGCTTACGTCCCTCGGATTCAGACGACATCATCGTCCAGGATGAGACTCTGCCAATCTCCTTGGCAGACCCTTTCAGTAAACAGAGGGTTGCGGTTCCAGTCAGGGGCAGTCAATGCAAGCACTTGGAATGTTTTGATTTAGAAACGTTTTTGGGGACCAGAAGCGGAAAAGAGCCACAAAAAGGAGGCGGCCCGCAGCAACAGGGGGAAGAACCTTCGTTGGTGGACAGATGGGGTTGTCCAATATGTGGACTCGATGCACGTCCTATCAGTCTCTTGGTGGATGATTATCTCGTGGCAGTTAGGCGCTCGCTGATCAGCAATGGCGACACTCGGACAAGAAACATCAAAGCGGCTCCTGATGGTACGTGGTCTGCAGTATGGGAGCCGGAGGAGTCTGATGACGATTCACCGGCACCACAACCTAAAGGTTCGGTTAATGGGCATGCTAGTAGGCAACCAAGGCCACCCCCGACACCAGTCATCGACATATCGGATGATGAATAGAGTCTTGGGGGGGTTCTTGGTGGGAAAGGGGTGTTTTGGGATTTTCGTTTCCGTGCGTGGCGTTCTGGAAACAAGTGCATCTTAGCAAGATTGCTTTTTGAAAATAGATACCTTTTTTTTTTTTGGGTTGGGTTGGGTCTGGCCGCAAAAATCCAGAGCTGGCTGGTTAAGGGAGGGCAATCATCGACAAAGGCGAGAGGCGCGCTTATTGCTCATTATATATATATATGTCCGTGTATTCAAGCGCTTCGTATATCGAGCATAAATTTCATTCGTCGTCATTCTTCCCTAAAAGGAACGATGATATGTGACTTCGTGAAAATGGTTGCCTCTACCTTTAACTACTTAGGTACCTAGGTCACCAACTGATAGCATATAAAGTATGAGTACTAAATCCCGCCGGAGCATTTTCGGGCTAATCTTTATCCCGGTTGCGCCACTGTTATGGTAGACGGCTTCTGTGAACAACGAGCGACGCTGACGTGAATCTCGGGATTATAGGTTTACCTGGAGCTACTCGAACTCAATTGTTATTCATTAATGTCACCATGGTCGGTAGAAATCCCAGTCCACCCCGCCGACAACGAGCATGCGCTCCTTGCGCAAGAGTCAGAGCAAAATGTCACTTCCGGGAAGGGAATCTGGAGAAGCATATTTGCGATAGGTGCTATGTCTCTTAGTCCATCTATGATCCTGTAATAGTAACAGAGTAAGGTGTGAGACTATGAAGAAGGACTGTTTCCCACAGAATACTAGAAGTCTGAGAAGACCTCGCAGAATTAACCACGGTAACGGGTATGATGAATGCGAACTTATATGAAACGTAAAGCTGATTACCATGAACATTATAACTTCCGAAGAGCAAGAACAAGTCATTACTATGGGCACAAATAGTTCGTCAGAGTTTACTATTTTAAGCCATAGGAACCGGGCACAGCAGCCAGGCCGAGACAGCAATAACAACCAGAAAGAACTGGGATATGACAACTCTGCCAGGAATCCAACCCAGACAAACACAAGTTCAGATAGGGGCACTTCACAGCCTCCATTTGGGCTATCATGGCCACAGGCAGCTCAAGTTCTTAGCCTCTTCCACGAAGGATTCACCTCCCAATTCCCCTTCGTGACAGTCGGGAGTCATCACACTGCCGAATCACTGCACAAAGACAGTCCATTTCTATTTCGTGCTATAATGATTGCCGCTGCACCATTATCTGAAGCTGGGGTGGCCAAGGCGAGACGCAACATACTCGCATATCTGAGCTTTAGGGTAATGGTCGAAGAAGACAAGACCTTGGACATACTACAGGGTGTACTGGTGATTATTGCTTGGTAGGTTCATACAATGGTGGTGGAATTCATGCTGATGATTCATAGGGCGCACAGGTGTCACATCGACAATAGTCAGGTCACCAATCTGGCGTATCTTGCTCTTGGCTATGCACATAACTTGGGTGTTACACAAGACATGTTGTCAGCTCAAACAACCAGCGCAGGAACATCTGACAAAGCACAAATGACAAATTTGTTGGCGGCAATACGAGCTCTTCTCGGACTTTATTGCGTTCTCTCAATGTGAGTCTATCAATAACCCTTGTTTCTTATCTAACAAAGTCTTCCAGTATGTCAACGAGACAATCACGTCGAAATCCTCTCGACGTACCCTACGTGGAGTCCTATCTCAAGATTGTCTCCCAAGCTCAAGCAACACCATCTGATCCTTCAATAGAGTATATCGTTCGGTTCGTTCAGATGGGTGAGAGACTTTCAAGAAGCTTTGGCGAGCCACATGAGCGTACGCTGTTAAGCCCATATGCTGTGCTTCTCGAAGGAACTGGAAGTCGTTTCCGCAATGACCTGAGTCGTCTAGCAGAGTCAGTCCCCAATGGCAATGTTGAAACATACAGCCAGACGTTTGAGCTCTACCGTTTGTATCTCTTAGTGCGTCTCTTTGAGCCAGCAATTATCGTGGCATGCCACCCTGATGAGGGTGTTCCTCAGTTCGTCTATCTTTTGACATGCTTACGCAACTGTCTTCAGGCAATGCAGTCTTTTTTCGCCCTTCTTCTTGACTCGCCCGTTGATCTGCTATTGCGTCGTTCAATACTTACCTACGACCAAATTCTCTATGTCATGTTACAAGCTGCAAAGCTACTTCTAGTTGAGATTCCTGACTGGGATACTCGGTCTGTTCGACAGACGCTGGATCTCACCAATGTACTAGATCAGATGGTATCACGTTATGGAGAAGCAGAACGATTGCGCAGGGCAGCGGTGGAACAATTCATCTTTTCAGCACTCGAGGAAGAATCCACGAATGAGATGACTAGTACATCAAAACTGGTAAAGGAAATACGTTGGCTAAAATACTGGCTCGAGTCCAGATTTCAGGGGTCATCGGGAGAACTTGAGGAAGATACATACCAGGGTGCATTGAAACCGTCCTGGTCTCTGGGACTCTTGGAAGAAATGCCCTGGAAGATTGGAAACATCTGATTGAATTTTTCACTGTAGTCACCGTTCTTTACCAAAGGCTGGGGTCTGAAGACGTGCATACGAACTCATTAATGCATGAACGAGGGGCGGTTGAAATGAATGTTCGCAATTGCAGGGTATCATAGTTAATCTCAGGAAAAATAAAATAAAGACACCACCATAACTCCTAGAAAATGCCAAAATCGTCGCCCATATCTTACAATCGTGACAAAATGTCCCGTAACACCACGACCCTATCACTCATCGTCATTAGAGAAAGAAGTCTCAGATTTGTCAATATAATAGCCCTCGAGAGTATCTTCTCCAGAGATCTCGGACTGCTCATCACTTGACCATGCAAAGCTATCTCCTTCTTCGGACAGCTCAGATTCTTCGACATCATCATCAAAAAGCCCCTTGATGAGCAAGTCCCAACAATCAGGATCAGCCATGTCAAGGCCCTCAATTCTAGCACGCCACTTATCCAGGATGTTGCCCTCTTCATCATATGGCTCTCGTCTCATCCAGCCAGTCCATAGAGCAATGATCTTTGAGGCAGTCATAGCGTCGACCTGGAACCACTCCTTATGGCGAATGTTGCAAGCTGGGCATCCTTTTTCTCGCTTCCTTTGGTTCCAGAGCTGAGCATGTACAATCTTCTCGACCTTGACGTAGTGCTCGGCCGGAAACTCACCGAGCACTTTCGCCTCGTAGCTGCACTGGTATTTCCATTCTCGCATACGCTTGCTGACATCTTGAGCAAAGCCTATCTTGATATAGGGATGTGCGTCGTGGTAGCTCTCAGAATATGTATAGAGGTAGATGTTGCCTCCATTCTTTGTCTCCTTTTCCTGCAAGGAGCAAAGCAGAAGCTTCTTCATCGCTTTATTGGTCTCTAGGGCCGAGCGGGGACGGGAGAAGTCTTCGAACTCATGTGCGGCTTTGGGGCTTTTAGGGGAAGGTGATTTGGGTAGGAAGAGCTTTGGGGACGGTTTTGTTGGAGTGGAAGGGGGTGACTGAGATCTGCGACGAGGAGTGGGAGTAGGTTTGAGAGTATTGCTCTTGAGTTGAACCTGTTGTTGCGATGACACAACAGGAGTGGTTGGTGATGTATTGTCTGTTTCTTTCTCGGGTTTGAGAGTATCTTCCTTGTCTTCTTTTTTGATAAGCACAACTTCAAGGGGCTTAAGGATTTTCTCCCAGTCGGATAAACGAAGAGGACCATCTTTTCGATGGTAACGCCGACACATGATCAAGTCAGAGACTTCTTGGAGTGCGGTCTGAGCAGCAGAAAAGGTTCCATGAATAATTGTTTTCTCCAAGAGACAAGTGATAAGGGCCGAATTGGCTTGACTGATGTCTTTCCGGCAACGAGAATTCTTCTTCGTAAAAGCATGGCATTTCTTCGCGTCAGGATCGATGTCGAGAAGCTCACAGAGGGAGGCTATAGTAGTTGGCCAAGCAATCTTGGAAGTGGTAGGGATCATATTGGACAAGTCCAGGAGCCGAGCTTCGTGTGAACTGGGATCGAGCTGTAAAAAGAAAAGGCTGGTGATGGTTTCTATGCCAACATGAGGCCTGCAGCGCAGGTAGGATCGACGATATATAACTTGGCGAGGATATCTCTAAGCGCCCTTTGGGGGCAGTGTCTGCGAGGAGGGCCTCCAAGGTTTCTACTACTGCACGATGTGTCTGCCTCACAGACCGTGGTCGTGAAAACAGGCCGGGGAGGACTTCAGCTGGGTGGAGTCTGAGTAGAAAGACGTTGGATGATACGATGTTCTTGGTGAGAAGAGTTATGATCTATTGTTTTCCTTTATATAGTTCTTTCCGCCTCTGATAGTCTGATTTACCACCTCACTTACGCACACTCGCTCAATAGCAACGATGTCATTCACTCATGGCAAGAGCATTACTGATATGTTGACCTCTATCTTGGCCCAAATCTTTGCTGAAGCTTCGGCGGGCGGTTAATCCAAAGTCTGAGGGATAAAGAGTCAGCGAGTGTGCCATTCCAAGGTATGTTGGTAGATACTAGTTTATGCAGTTGGTTCTACATATCCTTGTCTCGAAACCTCTGCGCCCCCTGCGAGTCGTATCATCAAGGGTCACGAGGCATCCGAGGGCGCCTCGAGTCAAATTCAGTCCTAGTTCTCTCTCTAAAATTGGTGTTTCTCAAATGCGCAATACCATTTATGGGGCATTCTTCAGCGGTACTCAAGATCTCGTACCATCACAGCCACGCGGACGGGCCGTTGCGAGTTGTGGGGATAGCTTCCCTAGCATGGCGTCACTTCTGCAGAAGCGACCTGGATTGAATCATCAAACCTGTGGTTGAGTTGGAGGAAGTTGATATGGAAGTGAGTTGTAGATTCTCGGGTAGGAATCACGCTTCTCTAATTGAATCATAGCGATTCGAAGTTGTACTACCTAAGTAGATATTGGTAGGTGGGTAGGTAGGAGGTAAGTTAAGACGTGATGAGCCAATCAACGAGACTACTAGGTACTCATATAACTGTAATCGGTGTAACAACACCCCGGCCCTGTCAACCAAGAATATATCTCACGATTGACTCTTAGAAGCACAAAGATAGCTCATCAGTTGAATCGGTCGACGAACTTATCACTACCATTGAAATTGTATTAGCTGATACTCCCACAAGTACACAATTTTGATTACAAACACTCTCGTCATGCCTTCGACCGAAAGTCAATCAGATGCCGCTCAGCGCATGTACACTGAACGAGCAACCGACTACGAGGATTCTTGGCATCCCGACTACAGCAAACGGTTCATGGAACTTGTTCCCATCAAATCCGGCGATCGCGTTCTCGACCTCGCCTGTGGAACTGGCCTGGAGGCTGTCATTGCAGCAAGGCACGTCGGCGATGATGGGATTGTCATTGGTGTCGACATAACTGAAGCGATGCTCTCGGAAGCAAGCAAGAAACTGGATCACGACGAAACATTGTATCGTCGCATTAAACTTGTTCGACACAGCGTCACTGATTTGACCGGTTGTCCAAATGTAGACAGGGACAGCTTTGATCTCATTCTATGCTCAAATGCCTTTGTTCTGTTTGAAAATCCAGAGGAAGTTGTCGCCCATTGGCGGGGGTATCTCAAGCCAGGCGGCAGAGTTGCCATCGACATCACTCATGAGTATAATCTTCGCTCGGGCCTGCTATTAGAGAAAGTCGCTCGCCGATTGGGCATGCCATTCCCCTCCAACCGAAGCTGGATCAAGTCTAAAGAGTCTTTTAGTGAGATATTGGAAAGTCGTGGTTTCGTGGTTGAAAAGGTTGAGGCTTTGGAAAAGATTGTTGGACTTGGCTCAACGTATTTCGGTCTCGACAAGGCAGATGAGCAGTTTGACTACGTTGTCAATGGCCCTCTGACTGCCTCAATTGTAACGGAAGAATTGAGAGTCAAAGGAAGAGAATATTTCAAGGAAGAGTGGCACAATGCTGCAGTGGATGGCAAGGTTGAGGTATCTGATATTCTCTACGTCTATATCGCCAGGAAGATTTGATATACGAGCGTTCCTGAATATCTTTAAATCTATCTCACATTTTTGCCTTGACTTTCTGAGCCTTTGGTTCAACGGGCATCCTTGGATGATCACCAGCGAGCTTCAACCCAGTCACTCTCTCCAGCTCATCAACAGCCTCGAATGCTCGACCAAGGTTCACCTTGATTGTTTGCAGTCCTTGTCTGCGTGCTTCCTTCAAATTCTCCCCGATGTCATCGAGAAAAGTTACTTCCTCTGCCTTGATACCAACCTCCCAGCTCAAGCTTTTCCCCCGAGCTGAATGAGCATTGGCTTTCGCGAATTCGTTTACTCGGTCGAGAGCAAGCTTATACATGGCCGGATCTGGCTTTCGGATTCCAACATGGGCGGAAGAAATGAAGACATCAAATATCTGCCGCACAGGCTCGTCAAAGAAATGGTCAAGGTGGAGCTTATGGCCAGGCGGAAAGATGACGGTATTACTCAGAGCTGCGAGAATGAATCGCCCATCCCCCTTCAGCTTTTTCAATGCTGGGAACATCCATGGGTCGGGGTTGTTAGAAACCGTCATCATCTCGTTGAAAAGCCATTCTGCATCGACTGAAGGAACTGGAGGGGTTTCCTTTGGGAGACTGGGATTTTTGCTTTGCTCTCGCTTGTAGAAGGTCTCCCATCTAATGGGATCATGAAGGTCTTGACTGAAACCCCTGAAGAATTCTTCATTCATCTCGATTTCTCCTTTTTCCAATCGATGCCAGAAGCCATTGGGGGCAGTCCTGGATATTGAATAGTTGACCCACCCTGGAGGGATCCCCAGGCTTAACTCATAATCGAGGATTGCTTGGAAAGGGGAAACGACCTGGAGGAGTCAGTAATTATGTATGTGGGATAGATGACTACATGTCTAGAGTCGAGACGTCCAGAGGATTGAGAAGCAAAGTGTAATCGGCGGTAAACATCATGTCTTGAATCACTTACACAGACACCCCCTATATCGAACAACAGAACTTTGGGCTTAGACTCTGACATTATATCCGGTTTGACAGGTGGGAAGGGCTGGGCTTGTATAAATGTGACCCCAGAGTTAATATAAGAAACTGAAATATGTAAGAACTCAACCTTCTAACTACTACTCGACATATTCTTGCGATCTTCTATCCCAATAAAGACTCCACCGAGGCTTGGGGTATCCGAGGAGCCTCGGCAGATCCCCCATCTAGGTTGGCGTCTTGGGGAGACAAGATAAGATAAGTATCCAGGCACGTGACTGATACTCTCGTCCCCAACCCAGGTCCAAACTGGAGCAAATGAAGCTAAGCGATTTCGGGCGATTAGGGCTATATGAAAATATCCCCCACCATCGAGAATTTACGGCTTATTCCTCTCTCAGCACCAACTTTCCAAACTTCAACACTCAAGTCGTCGTTGAGCAAATACCGTCAAGATGGTAAGTTAAGGCCTATCGCAAGGGAATATCTTCGCCGAAGAACTCCCTTGGTGTTTTTTTTCTTTTACGGCAGAAATGCCAATTGCTCTGAAAGAGTCACCGCAAGTTGCTTCGGAAGGAGAAGAGCATCTGAAGCGCAAATTGCTGACTCGGGGATTTTGTGATAGGTTTTCCACAAGTTGGTGAAGAACAGCGCGTACTACAGGTGAGTTTACACTGGGTTTCTCTCCAACTAGGGAAATTGCTGACAATCTCGTAGCCGCTACCAGACCAAGTACAAGCGCCGCCAGCAGGGCAAGACCGATTACTACGCCCGAAAGCGCCTCATCACCCAGGCCAAGAACAAGTACAATGCTCCCAAGTACCGCCTGGTCGTCCGCTTCACCAACAAGGACATCATCTGCCAGATCGTGACCTCTGAGATCTCTGGCGACAAGGTCTTCGTCTCTGCCTACTCGCACGAGCTCAAGGCCTACGGTATCGAGCACGGTCTCACCAACTGGGCCGCCGCTTACGCTACCGGTCTCCTCATCGCCCGCCGTGCCCTCAAGAAGCTTGGCCTCGACGAGGACTTCACTGGTGTCGAGGAGGCTGACGGTGAGTTCAAGCTCACTGAGGCCGCCGAGACCGATGATGGCGAGCGCCGCCCCTTCAAGGTCTTCCTCGATGTTGGTCTGAAGCGAACCTCCACTGGTGCCCGTGTCTTCGGTGCCATGAAGGGCGCCTCTGACGGTGGTATCCTTGTCCCCCACTCCGAGAAGCGATTCCCCGGTTACGACATGGAGACCAAGGAGCTCGATGCTGACACCCTCCGAAACTACATCTTCGGTGGCCACGTCGCTGAGTACATGGAGACCCTCGCCGACGACGATGAGGAGCGATTCCGCAGTCAGTTCCAGAAGTACGTCGACGACGACGTCGAGGCTGAGGGTCTTGAGGACCTCTACACTGAGGCTCACGCCGCCATCCGTGAGGACCCCTTCAAGAAGGCCGAGAGCGATGCTCCCAAGAAGACCAAGGAGGAGTGGAAGGAGATCTCCAAGAAGTACAAGACCAAGAAGCTCACCAAGGAGGAGAAGGAGCAGCGCGTACAGGAGCGTATCCAGGAGCTTCTCCAGCAGGAGTAAAAAGTTGCTTTATCTCATCAGGTCATGGGCATTTGAGGATTGTTAACCTTGGCATTGGGTTTGGAGTTTCGAGGAAAGGAAAGGTCCGTAAACAGGATCACATGAATGAATTACCAAAAAGATACCTTCCAGCCAAATTCCATAGTTGTGGTGAACGGGCATCTCATTACTCCAACTGTTTAATGCTTGCCATGCGTAGTCCTTGTGTTTTATGTGTGCGCGTGTGTGCGAAAATCGAGAGGAACCCTTACTTACCCTTGGCGGGCCTAGCGTGGCAGCTGCAGGATTAGTGTGAGTCTTATTTTCAGGGCTGAATCTTGGCCATGAACCTCAGCACTCCGATCCAGTTGAGAGGGCTCTTGTGGTTATACGACATGGTCAGCACTTGATATGACTGTCAGCAATTGGCGTTATTGCGTATCACTTAGTACCATTGACAGAATTGACAACCGAAGAAGATAATGGAACCCATCCGATTTCCGTGTAATAATCTTGTGAAGTTCCGAAGTTAATGTCTAATAGAGTTGATACCGGTAAGCCGTTGGCCGTATTAGGTTCCTTCCGGATATCTCGGATTTCCTATATGTATAATATCGCACTTATTGAGGTATACGGAATTTGATTCTGAAGAAAACTAGACTGACTGACTGCTCGATTGCTCGGAAAAGAGCCCAAAATCAGAGATGTCTGTTCGGAAATGGTCATGATGTGGTAAATACACTAGACCCGGCCATGCTGGTTGAGATTCAATAACAGCGGGCTGAGCAGTATTTCGAGAGAGTCATCTCACCTCCTCGTGAATCGCAAATTGGGGGCCCGCCTTTCGCTCTCGGAGAAGGTCATGATTCCGCGGCCGAGAGCATCATTCAGTCTATTCCAGTCTGTGCGAATAGTGACGATTTTGGTCAATGTGGCGCGTGCTGAGTGTGTGAGAGGGGGTCGGACGTAACGTTATAGAAACTCCCGTCGCAGTTGGTGTCGGATCGGATGGACCCGGTGGGTTCCTCAACTGATGCAATCGAGGGAAATGAAGATCGGATATATCCTACGATGTCAACCCTGCTCTACAGCACAGCAAATGTCTGAAGACGACTGCCGCGTGTGAGGAAAAGAGAGACTGGCACACGATGTCCAAAGGGTTCAGTAAAAAGTTTCGGCACAGGCCAGGGCATAACTCGGCATCTCTGAATATAATTTCCCTTCCTTTTTTTTTTTTTTTTTTTTTTTTTGACACCCCTGAAAGATGTTGTGCGACCGAGAACTCTAATGACATCGTTTGCCAAGTAATGGAGGGCCCAGTACTGCAGGAGACTCGAATCTCAGGGCACAACCGACTTGACTAGGTACCTCCTAGGCAATGAAATATGACGCCGGATTTTCGGACTCTGGAACAAAGCTCATCATAACCAATTCTGGTAACGCCTGTTGCAAGAATTGAGTGGTTGTGAGAGAGGGGTGACGTCTTTTGTTTGCTCTTTTGCTCATGATGGGCTGAGCCGAAGGTTGCATGCAGTGAACAAGGGTTAATCTTGACCTCGTGCAACGACTATCATGAATCGATTCAATCATTATTCCGCTGAGGATTTATACAGCAGTTGGACCAGAGTATAATACTCAACTTGCTCAGTTGGCTGGCAGGCTAAGAGCCCGCTTACACCCACATGGATCCCTACATCATTGAAATAACCGCGTTCTGCACTGACGTCCATTTTGATACTAAACTTCCGTGCCCGGGTTAGAGGGCCCCGATACAACCGGGGGTACGGTCGGCTCGGTACATGCGGGCGGGTAGGGGAATGAGAGGTAAGGTAAAGGTACATGTACCGATACAAACAAATTACCCTTACGATTGCTTCCTGGGCTGTTGAACTCAATGCCTCCTTTACCCGTTACAAGGCGTGGCGATGAGGCGATGTTCATCTCATTGTATCCCTGAGTGAGACTCGAGATTCAGCTCGAGACAGAGCGCGCTATTCAGCGTCACTTGTGTCATAGGACCTCCATGTATTGTGGGCATTACAAATTTCGTCGGACCCTGAATTGCAAGTGACTTGGCTGTCATCCGTAGGCGAGGTAGTCTTGATCAGCAAACAGGGTTCGGGCTTTTGCCTCTTGGTCAGCAGCATAGTAATAAGACTAACTCAGATGAAATGTCTTTTGCCTCACCGACCGCCGCCTTGTATTGTTTCAAACAACTTACCTACTAACCTACCTTATGCTATTGCGCTGGACTGTGCCTTAGTTCAACTGCTCGTGACAAACCCCTACCCCGCTATTGGACTGGATGTTGTCATAATTCTCCCCCCGACATTTCCACTTTGTATGGAGATACAACACAACACAACATATTCATCACTTGCTCCCATTTCTATCTCAATCTCCTCTTTCATCCTCCGTCGTCATTGCTCCAAATCCAGGTCGAGACCACCCTCGTGCATAGTCCAGACCAAGCCAACCTTAGCAGGTACCTCTCGGAAGCCCACATAAAGTACATGTACTTTGCGAACCGCTACCGGTACTCTACTGTATTTGACTACCATACCTTAGTCTAGCTCTTAACTATACCTCATCCAGCCCGTCTCCAGGATTCGCTAGCCATCCATACCTTACCTTTACTCCGGGCTAGAGCCATCGATGGCATCCATCCCAACACTACCACCTCACTAATCACTATCTCTCTGGTCGATTCTCTCTCCTCTTTCATTACTCATTACTCATTACTCATTCACCCTTCACCCTTCACCTCCCCCAGTTCGGCTTTTATAAACACTGTTAAAACTTGTATAAGTTCTTATCATCATTATCTCGTTCACATCTTCGACAGCCGTCTCGGCTCCCCTCCCACTATGGAGCAGGTTCATGGCGTTGATGTCAGCTGGATGACCCATGGTGCTTCGAAAGGCATGTTTCCCAGTCGCCACTCGCCCAAATTCCAAAACGCGCATCGCGTCTTTTGTTCTGGCGCTATAGACCAAGACCCAGAGCTAACATTGTAAACAGATAAAGCAGCCAGGAATTCACCGCCCACCAAAACTCCCTCAGCAGCTCTTCCAAGACAGATCCCTGGTGCAAACTCTAGACCGAAGTCGCCGGCTTCGGCTCCCACAGATAATGCCTCCGTAGACTCCAATATCTCGACCAATGGCCAGTCCACGACTCCAAATGGCTCCTCAGCTACAAGACGAATTTCGCGCTCCAATTCTATAGATAAACAGACTCCTCCCGGCACATCGCCTCACCGTCGCAATTCATGGTTCTCCAATATCTCTGCCAAATTCTCTTCCTCTAATACACCGCCAGCCGGTCCTCCTTCACCAGCTCCCATACCCGAATCGTCGCCCGCACCACCGTCAGACCCCGTCCCTCCCAAGTTGCCACATACGAAGAACGCCGTGCTACCCCATGCTGCGAAACCCGATGGCGATGGCCCTTATATACCAGCTCCGCCCAGGAGTGGACAGCCCGGCTTCTTGGGCATGTTCCGGCGCCTGTCTTCTTCTAACAATGGGGCTCTTTCACAAAGCGGAAAACTTGGCCATGGTCTTGTCGACAGGGTGGTTCTGAATGTCGACCAAAGTCGAGAAAGATGTCCTATATCGGAGCTCTCTTGTGCCAAACTTAGAAGAGTCGCATTCTGTGTGGATGTTGAGATTGCGCCTCAGCCGAAATATGCTGATCACGATTCTTCATTACCTAAAACAACCGACAAGACTCAGAAAAAGAAGTTGACCGAGAAGGGTGAGGGGGAGGCCCTTAAGAACCCAAAGGCTGTGGAAGAGCAGAAGGAAACCAACGGAGAAGTCAAGACTACAGGAGAAACATTGCCAAAGGAACCCGAGAAGGAAGGGACTGAAGCACCTCAACAAGTTAGGGAAGTGGCCAATGGCAGTCCAACTCCTGTGTCAGAGAAAAAGGAGGAAAACACCAAGAAAAAGGAAAAGAAGAAGAAGAGCGAGGAAGAGCGAAAGGCCAGAAAGGAGAAGAAGCGAAAACTGGCCGAAGCCAACGGATCCATTCCCATGGAGATTCATTATGACAGCAGTGATGACTCGGCCAAAACAAAAACGCCGCCCAATGGTCCCGAGACCAACAAGCCTCAGACGGCACCTACCACGAACCCTGTGCGAATATACCGAAGATGCTGCCAGCTTCGCGAAACGCCAATTCTGAAAAAGATTACTGAGCAACTCACCGATACGGCCAACTACAATGCCTCGACTGGCACGGTTAACAAACTTGATCTAACAGATTATTGGCTCCAATTACCGGATCTTATCACTCTCGGAGATTACCTTGCAATTGTCCCTGTGAGGGAAATACTTTTAGAAAACAGCGGGCTTGGCGACGAAGGCCTACGAGTTATCCTAGCCGGTCTGCTCGCAGCCAAGAGACCAGCTGTGAGGCGGCGGAAACCCAAGCATGACGATGAGGATCAAGGCGGCGTAGTAGAGCGACTTGTCCTGAAGAACAATAAGATAGGCCCTGATGGATGGAAGTATCTCTCGCTTTTCATATATTTATGCCGATCGCTTAAATTCCTCGACGTATCTTATATTCAATTCCCGCGCCAGCCTCAATCACAGCAAAACGGGTCACTCAACAATGGAGTTCATATACCTCGAAGTATCTCGAGCATCTTTTCCGCTGCTTTGGGAGAGCGACTAGGGGGATCAACGCTCGAATTAGTCAACATTGGCCAAACGGGTTTGACAATGGGGCAGCTTGGAACAATCGTCGACGGCCTGATTCAATGTGGCGTGAAACGGCTCGGTTTGTCACACAACCAGATCGATGCAGAGGGCATGAAACATGTTGTCAAGTTCCTCACAGAGGGTCACTGCGAAGGTCTCGACTTGGGCGGCAATGATCTCAGCCAACACACTGAAGCCTTGGCAACAGCCATCGAAAATGATACGACGCTCTGGGGACTCGGCATGGCCGATTGTAACTTGACACCTTCGGCACTCTGCAAGATCTTGCCTGTGATGGTCAAGCTACCGAATTTGCGATTCTTTGATTTGTCCCAAAACCCAGCATTGTTCCAGTCAACCCCCAGCGCTGTTGGTCTGCTCAGGAGGTATGTACTTGATAACCCTCAGCTCGACTCAGGTATACTAACTGTACATAGATATCTTCCCAAGATGAAGGTGCTGAAACGTATGCATCTAGAAGATGCTGCGATGACGCCAGAACAAGCGATCGCAATAGTGGAAGTGCTCCCTGAGGTTAAAACGCTGGCGCATATCAATATCACCAACAACGCCGAGATTGTCAAGCTCGCCGATGCGAGCACAGAAGAAGCGCAAGAAGAAGCTTGCGCTCTTTACGCGTCTCTACTTGCCGCAGCTCGTGTGTCCAAGAGTCTCATTTGTGTGGATATCGAGGTCCCTAGTGAACATGCTGGAGAGATTGTCAAGGCTATGGCTAAGCAAGTTGTTGCCTACTGCCTTCGTAACATGGAACGACTTCCCGATACTGACGCAGGTGCGGTTTTGGCATCGACGCTTGCCGAGAACAACCTAGAAGCTGGCGAGAATAAGTTGCCACCTTATCCTGATGTTCTCGCGCATCTTGTTGGACACGACGTCCTAGACCAAGACGAAAGCGACGACGACAACGGTTCAGCGCCTGATGAGGACTATGTTATCGGAGGTACTGGTGTGGTCAAGGCGCTTGCTTGTTGCCTGAAGAATCGTGGCGATGAGTCACGGAGACAATCAGGCGAATTTATTCGTGAGATTGAGAACGGAGCATCAAGCCCTGCGGCGAACCTGTCCACAGGTGGAAAGGCCAAGGACATGTCAAAGCACCTATTGATGGGTGCACGCAAGATCCGCCAACGTCTCCAGCCGGCGCTCATCAAAGCAAGGGCAAATCCTGATGATGATCACAACCTCCGCAGGCTAACCTTCCTCGACGACACTTTGCAAGGAATTATCAAACGTTTCGAGGACGAATACCCGGATACTCGCGAGGATCCTGCATTGCAAAAGCGCCCCCGTGCAGGTACGAAGGGCAGCGAAGAGTTGCCGACCACATTGCCGCTCGAGGATTCTGCGTTGGCTCTATCGGACAACGAGGACGAAGGCGAAATTACCGGAGGCAAGCCGCTGTCGAGGTCCAACTCTATGGCCAAGATATTGGTTGAGGAAGAAGGCCGAATCCTCCGTGCTGGTCATCGCTTTCGCGCTGGTCTCATTAAGGAGGAGCAGATTGACCTCCTCAGTACAATCGATGATATCGGATCGGATCCTAAACACGTCAGGATGCTTGTTGAACTAGCTGAGGATCTCGGTGGAGAAATCTGGGAATTAGTCAAGGAGAAGGGTCCTGTGAGGGCATTCAAGGAGGATCGAGATATTGCTTTCAAGTGCATGGAGGCGAGCGATCCAGAGCACTGGGCTCGATTCGCTGAGGCGCAGTACAAGTCTCGCGCGAACATTAGCATTCCATCAGCAGCGAAGCAGGGAGAGGTAGTCGACGAGAGCGCGGTTGCCGATTGAAGTAGTGGGCTGCAAGAAAGATACCGAGATGATGCCTGTATAAACCTCTGCTAGGAGAAGATCGAGTCATGACGGGTTGACCATGGCCTGTGCATCATCACGAGTAAAGAGAAGGATGTGGATTGAAATGACATGTTATGCGCATAGAAGTCAGGGCGCTCGTTAACGACTGACTTTTCCTTTTCATTCTATTTTGCTTTGAGCGGGGAGTTATGAATAGGTTCTCTTTCAAGAGAGAAGTGGCTATACTATACTATCAATGCGCGTACGGGATCACAAATACGTGCATAGTCTTGGGAACTGAGTGAATAATACAACGTCGCGAACTGAAGTCGATCTTTGTTAAGGGGCGTTGGAGAGTGTGATACTACTTCGTATTATATGTAATGAGGTTTCCATCGAGAATTACAAACCCTGGATTTGTTCTGGGGAACAATGTTTAACTTGATCCTCAGTGGATATTCACCATGTAACCTTGAGCAAGTACCTAGGTAGTGCATGATGTGCAGCTCTACACCTATAGGCGATGCGGCGTGGCCGGGATGAGCACGGGGGCGAGGGAAGCAAGCCACATTTGTTGATCTTAGCTCTTCAATTAATCAATATATTCTTTTGACGCCAGAGACGACGGGAAGAAAGGCAAGAAGTTCTAGTTCACCGGCTGTTTCGTTTTGGTCAAAACCTTGAGATTCGGTTGGTCCGCGACTTGGAGTCCTTAATTCGGCCTGCAACGTAAGCTATTCTGCTTTGGGGAACATGAAACGCGAACCATGCCTTATGGGGCAACAGGGGTAGGACAACCTCTTGCATCTCCAACGTCTCGAGCTTCAGCTTTCAATTAATATTGTACTCTTCTCAACTTCTGTGCGCGTTTCTTTCTTTTTAGTCGTTTCACCGCATGCGATTCGAGCCATTCTATTTGTACACAAGTCTCTCGAGTCCGCTTTTATTCCCGTCTTGAATGCACAGCCTCATGTCGAGGCTTCTTTCAGGGTCGTATCTGACAGGAGGGGGGGGAGGAATCATGATGATGATGCGCTCACTGATCAGGCCGTGATGATGCTAAATCCAGAAACTTCGCATTAGGTCTAGACTGCATTGAAGTCTAAATAATGCGGTTGAAGGAGCAGTTGTGCAGTCATCGCCTTCGTCATTGGGCTGTGAGATCTGAGTTTCGTCTGTCTTAATGCAGGAGTTATATGTGCAACATGGTTGCTGAGCTGGCAATGCGAGGACAACAAACCACAGATTCGATCGCTTCTTTGCTACCCAGACATAAAGAACTCTCAACCGTTCTCTCCTTGTTGCTATCATTATCGTTCGTCCGTGTTGAAGTAACGAAACGACCCAGCATATCAATGTGTGGGTTGATGCTCATTCCATTTTCCGGGCTCCTGGCCGTGGCAATCATAGCTGATGTCGAAACAGAAGCACGACCCTCATCTGCGGGTTACCCGTTGGCATCAGGCTGGGTTGATTGGCTTCCACCCGTCCATCTAATTCATGCAAATGCTTGCAAGGCCCATGCTAGGGTCCCATGCGGGATCCTTGTACAGCCTAGGATCCCTCGACCACTTCTCTGGTTACGAGATCTTGAGCGTGTCTCTCGTCTCTTTTGGTCCAACAACTTCCTGGTCTTCTCTCCCCTCTTCTTTCTCTTCTATTCCACGGACCTTCTTTTCATTCGTTATGGTCTGTCGACTGTTGGTTATTCGTTCGTTTCTTACACTCATTTACCCTTCTGTTTAGTCTGTCGTTTCCTTGCTATATTTGCTATCCTTGAGGCGAGCTGCGCTCATCATCGTAGTCTTTCCACCCTTTTGACCATACAGCATCATTTTCACCTCAGATGTCACCCAGTGATCAACGCACCTTCACACTTTGACTGTTGACCAACGAGTGTCGTACATGATCGATCTCCCTTGGCTTACATCTTCGAATCGACTTCGCCACATTGTGTGACAGCCTCTGAACAAATCAAACCTCAAACTCCGTCATCTCATAAACCAAATCACATATACGATGGAGGGGCCTCCTTCTACCCGGTCATTTAGACCATGGGTGTGGGAGAAGCCTGGCTCAGTCATGAACTTTGAAAACTTCGAAAGGTAACCAAACAACAGAAGTCATGTTTGACTACGGCATCCAACTAATCCGAGATAGTATCTCAGAAGAGCCTGGCTCCGCGACGACTACACGACCCCCGACTAGTCGGACTCGAGGCTTCACCACTTCCTCAGGGCGGCAGACCGTCAGATGGCCCTTTCACAGCTTCAGCAACTCACGATCTTCCATTCCCAATTACCCTCGCAGACCGTCCAACTCTCGGTCTATCCCGCACAGTTCGGGCTCTTTTCCTCGCCGTGCTGCCGGCAGCATAAGTCGTTCTGTCTCTAGCGTTCTTGGAAGCGACATCATCCCTGACTATGTAGTCAACTTCATGCGCGGCGAGACGCCGGAGACTCTCGCTCGAAGGCACCGCATTCCAGATAGTCCCGAGCCCGGACAGTTTCAACGCCCACAGGAATCTCAACTCGACTTTATTCATTCAGCTCCCAGTACACCCGACAACTCGAGGCCGGGTACTCCGAGGGCTGAACGGGAGAAGATGCTCATGGAGGAACGACCGCAGCCTACCAGATCTCTTATGACAGGATGGAGAGCTGGTGTTGCAGCCAACATGTTCCTGACTTTCCTGATTCTTGTGGCTTCTGTGGCTTGTCTCGCCCTCGCCTCGGCCCAGGGACATATGTCAACATGGGAATCGTTGTTAATGGAGGGTAGTTCGACTACAGTTGAAGGTATTGCTAGAGGGATCTTGGCAGCCGTGAATGTGTTTGCCATCATTCTCATCGCTGGAGCCAACTACGTCGTTCAAATCCTCAACAGCCCGACTCGTGCTGAGGTAGACAACGCCCACTCAGCCTTTAAGTGGCTCGACATCGGTATCCCTTCTCTACGAAACATGTCACTCATCTCTTCGACCAGGGCAACGCTGTCAGGTATCATGATGGCGTTTGCCCTCCTCTCCCAAGTAATGTATGCATCCCAGAATCTGACGACATGTATTGTCACTGACAAATTGAAGATATAATTCCATAATTATTACTACCGAACACACCGAGAAATCTAAATCATCGCTTAATGTTAACGGACCTCTTCTCGCCGCTATTACGCTAATCAATGTTGTTCTCATACTCACTTATGCCATCGCTGTCGCATTAGCACTCACCAGACAAGTATTCAGCCCACTCGTCACGCTTGGTGATGCTCTGAGCTCGTTCCTCGCCGATCCCGATGTCAGCACTGAGGATTCATGCCTCATCACCAAGGAAGAGATCAAGAAGGGATTATGGGGAGACCGAGAGGGCAAGTACTGGTATGCCAAGACAAGCCGCTGGTTTAATGTTCCCTCATTCAACCGATGGGCTATTTGGTTCATGACATGGATCATGCCCGTGGGGTTGGCAGCTGCGGCTCTGGCACTGGGGGCTGTGAAGGAACCCAAGGAGGCCTTCACTGGGTTTGGCAAGGCGGCAGTGGTATATGAGCTGCCCACGGGAACGTCAAGGTCTGGTCTGGCCGTTGTGGCTGCGTTGCCCCAGCTCCTTTTGGGTCTGCTGTACCTTTCCAGTAACGCGCTGCTCACCTTGCTCTACCTGTCTCACGAGCTCTCGCAGTTTACATCGGACCTGCTTCCTTTGCGTGTGTCTTCAGGACAGCCACTCGGTTCACAGACGACTTCACTATATCTCACCTTGCCTCGGCCTGTATCCTGGATACTCTTCTTTCTTGTTACCGCAATGGCTTTTCTCCTCAGTCAGGGCATTCTTCTCGTGTCTGTGGACGGCAGTAAGGGAACCACAACGGGAATTGGCTTCAGCCCCCTACCGCTACTTATCCTCCTCGCTCTACTTGTGCTACTCGGTCTCGGCATTGCTGGTCTAGCACTCCGGCAGGTGGATCCTCGTGGTTCCGTTGAAGGCGGAGAACCGGCCGGTAACCCACTCGCTTTAGTGGGCGGAACGTGTTCGGCGGTTCTGAGCGGACGATGCCACCGAGTACCGCGAGAGGGCGGCGTTGAAACACTCGAGGTTCGTTGGGGCGTGGTGCGAGAAGGTGTAGGGATGAACGCAGGACATGCGACCTTCTCTGGAAGACCAGTGGGGGACATCATGGTTGGTAGAGCTTACTCCTGAGGAGATGAATTTATACTAGCCGACTGGTTGTTTCGGGGAACACTTGCATTCTTTATAGCGGGTCTGATTATTCTTGGGATGCTGACGGTGTTCTGTGATAAGAGCGCGGTTCATAATGTAGGCACGGATGATATACCTGGCGTCTATTGGGAAAGGGTTTCATGTGAAAAGTTCGAATAGTTGAAGAGTCGAATTTCTGTGGGTAATTTTTGCGCAAGGCTGAGGTAAAACTGCTATGAAGTTGAATACACCAGTTCGACGTGCTCCCATGTGCATTATGGTGTTTCAGCCAGTAGAAACGGTCGACTAGGGTGAGAATGAGAAGATAATGCCCAACAAAAGAGGTCAGGTCACACTTGTTGGTCCAGATATCTTATGTTATGAAACGACTTGCTGGATATGAGTGGATAGAATCAGAGTTGGGACATATGATCGGCAACTAAGATAATCAAAAATGGGTCATGGGCTCACGGTCGAGGTCAAGAACGAACACGAGACGGATCACTTAGAAGAGTCAAAGTCAAAATGAGGAATAAACAAGGCGAATGGTGTCAGCAACAGATGATTCGGACCCTCCCCCACGTTATACACCTCTGTCAATAGTTGATGGTTGGGTTTTTAGAAACAAAGAATTATCGTAGTGACAAGACAAGGGGGGAATGAGTCAGCAAAGAAACAGATTCTCTAAATCCATCTTTCCCTGAATCTAGGTAGAAAGGAACCCCCTTGTTCTCGACCTTGTTGGGTAAATGAAGTAGAAGGTCTAGAAGCTGACTTGGAAGACACAGACTTTGGTTGGTCAGATAGGGGTAATCTCTTTAAGCCACAAGTGGCCAACTAAAATTCAGCCCCATTCATCCCCAGACCCAAGCCAAGGTCATACGATTCACTGCCACATCAGCCCAAAAGTCGGGCGTTTCTGACAATTAGCGAGGTCATGATTGGTCGGTTGTCTCTTTCCCTTCCCGTTCGGGATCTCCTGCCTGCCCAGTCTTCGGTTCGGAAGCAGTTCACTGTTTACCTTGAGTGGCAGGTGCGGGTACTGCACTTTCCCTTTGGTTGATGAGATGACCCCACAAGGATACAAGCGGAAGAGTTGGAGCATGGCAGGTAGGTCAGGTCCACTCCAGGTACCGACGTGTTGGCTTAAGGAAGGGGCACCTGGGCACCTCATTTGAGGCAACCTACTAAGGTAAGTACTTAAGCACAAGGTCTGCACTTCTCAGTCTGTCGACCTGTTTTCTTTGACTTTGACTTTACACATAATTCGATATACATACTACCGTACTCATACAATATTCGTCCATATAACTCAACTCTCCTGGGCTTTCTCCTTACGAACAACTCTTCGACCTCGACTACTACTTACACTCTACGACCACAACCATCATCATAATTAGTCTTCGCTTTCAGCCTTAACACCCCAAACATGACTTACACAATGACCGCCCACCTCTGCAAGCAGATCTACGCTTCCTGGCGTCAGACTCGACAACCTTCTCCCGACCTGGCTCCCCCAACACAGACTCCCTCGTCTATGTTTGGTCGTCCCATCTCGCGATCCCCTTCACCCCCTGCTCAGCGATCAGAGCGACGCCCTTCGAACGCTTCAGACTCAGAATGGCACCCCAACAGTCGTCACTGAGGAAATATAAAGACTTACCATTTTGCTTTATTTACCCATGACTTATGAGACGGGCCGAATTTTTGCATTCAGGACACGGACACAGCATCTGGCGCACATGACTTTGTTATACTGGACGTGGTTTGAAGCCTTCGCTAAACTTCCTCTTCCACATTACGCCCAACCTTCAAGATTCTGGAAGACCCCAGCACCTCTTTTTGACGCCTCCTGATACGGAAAATCGAATCCTGCAAAAGTTTCATCAACAAATCTGCCAACAAACTCTCCCTCAGACGAGATGCATCAAAAACAGCCCAGATCTGTGGGGCCAGTATGACACCATGGGACCACAAGGTGTCAATCACGAAATCTTGTGCCAGAGTTGCATAAGAGATGCACCCCACGTCCGCATGAGAAAACGCCAGAAACCGACATGCGAATCGTTATTTCTTCTGATGGAATACAAAACTCTAAGGCACGATGTAGACGTACAGACTGGACAGAGACCTTTCGGATAGAGGCTTTTCTTTTTTACACTTGTCCTTCAATTGTTCAGTGGTTGAAATCAGCAACCTCTTTTTCACACTACCTAGATACCCAAATGAATCTCTATATTCTGAACCGAATACCATTGCCTATCCCTCGATCTCGAATCTCTAGATTCCTTCGTTCGACCCCTGGCAACCCATGACTCGAAATCGATAACAGTGGCATGACCATCTGCCCACATTGAATACCCCCTGTAATCGGGGTGCGCCGCTGATCCCTTTTTGGCGGGGTGCTCAAAGGATTCGCTGTGGCTGGTAAGCTCTATCCTTGAAAAGGTATTTCATCACGTGTCATCACGACATCAAGGTCAAGACTCGATCAAAATTATGTTCAGTATCAGCATAGAAACCATTGACCAAGTATTGATTATCTAATTATCCTTGGGCAAAGCCAGGAGGACATCGCGCATAGCTATACCAGGCATAGATCCCCTACCCCAAGTTCATCTTTAGCCTTCCCCAGATTTTAGCCCGGCTGGTTCTCCAACTCCTTCAGCTGGAGCAAAAAGTGCTTTTCCTCGGATCGGATCGGCTTCTCCCACCGATCTCACCTACTTGGACCTGGCCTATTTCCGAACCGAGCTATTCAACTTTTAGATGTTGACCTGCCCTACTTCATCATGGGTCTAAGAAAAGGATGACTGATGACTGACGTATGTAAGTCGGTCCTGTGTTAGGCTTCGATGTAACACCAAGCATTCTGCTGTATCGCTAAATAGTTAAGCATATATGCACTAATATAAACAGAAAAGTGTCTGTGCTAGTGTCCATTTGTATCCGCTTCGCTTTGCTTTTTCGTTTACGTCGTTTCGTTTCTCGTGCATCAAGTTATATCCTATCCTGTTTCTCCTTGTCCAATGACCACGAACCGAACATGCGTTCCTTTGTCCTCATACAAATCCCTCGATAACCAGTTCAATGGCCATATCTACACGTCTCCGAAGGCTACCTATCCACCTTCTACATGCCCTGCTTAATGTTGAATATACCCCCCATCCTCTCCGCGTCCACCGGCGGCTCCTCCGCTTACATCGCTTCCGCGTGCTATGTCGACGTCTCTACATTGCCGACGCAGCCATCGTATCGATGGTGGGCTTGGATGTTAATCTTGATGGCTGCTCTTCCTCTCCACTACCATCTGGAGACTCCTGCAAGGCTACATTGCCCTGGATTCGCCTCTTGGCAGCTCTCTTGTCCGCTTCCGTGATGTTCTCTGCCTTCTTTCGCATATCAGGAGTCCACTGTGGCTCACTAGGCGTGTGGCCAACAGACATGCCAACTCGGACCTGTACAGCGAATTAGTAGCTGTGCAACTCACCAATGTAACTTACTTACCAGAGTTTCAAGTGCATCCTTGCTATTGTCGACAAGATCATCGTCAAACACCATTCGTCCAGGTTCAAAAAGAAGCAGGATCGTGCTGCCACCAAACTTGAAGTATCCAAGCTCTTCTGCTCGGTGGACTCTATCGCCCTCCTTGCGGGTAATGACAGTGCTGCCTACCATCATTGCACCAACGCAAATAACCATGACGCGTCCGTGGTGTTCACTGTCAATTGGCACGAGAACTCTCACGTTCTCTCCGTAAACGTCCAGAGCCGATCGAATAGCCATGGGGTTTACTGTGTAGTACTCACCCTCGATTGTCTTGGGCTTGCCCATGACACCGTCAACAGGGATGTGGAAGCGATGGTAATCCTGAGGAGCCAGTCGGAAGATGCCCAGAGCTCCGCCCTCAAATCGGGACACATCCTCAGGGTATGCGTCGCCGAGAAGTCTCTTCATGTTAAACTCACGACCCTTGACCCAAATCTTAGTAGCGACTGTGATAGAGTTGAAGACGACGCTTCGACAATCGGCTGGTGAGACGATAATGTGAGGGTTGTCGGGCGCAGAGCAGGGTCGAGCGCCAGGCTTCAGGGCACGGTAGAAGAACTCATTGAAGTTGTTGAACTCATCCAACGGCAACAGAACTTCCGACATGTCGAGACCGTGGAAAGCAATGAACTTTTCAATTTCATCCTTAGATGCAGGATCGTCAAACTTCTTACCCTGCTTGATACTCAGATTTTTGAGTAGTTTTCGGACTGTAGCCTTGTTAGTAATGCTGGTTTTCCAGGCGAGCACTCTGCTTACTTCGTTTGTTCTCCATATCTCGAGATTTGAGTCCCTTGTACAGCAGACGAATACCGAGTCTTACATAAACACTCATCTTCTCCTCGTTGATCTGACCCGTGAGACGATCCTGCACAAGGATATTGGCCGAGTTGGCACCCAGCTTATAACCACCGTAAGAGATCTTGGTAATAACTTTCGAGTACCACTTGCGCTGCGCCTGGCTGGCTGTGACAAATCCACCCACTAGCACGCTGTTGACTTGCCTCCAGTCTTGGCTTGCGCATGTCGCAATATGGGTGATGATGTCAGCATCCTTGCGCTTGTTGAGTCGCGGCTGGTGACAGATAGGACATTCTCGGATCTCTACGACGTGCTCTTCAGAACGGTCGTCACTGCTGTCAGACTTGTCGAGGGGATCGCCCTCCTCATCTGCAGGTGTCTTCAAAGTGGGGACATTTGAGATGGGAGTCTGAGTTCCCGACGTCGAGTCGAGTTCTAGAACGCTGGGGGTCTCTGAGCCACCGCTGTTGTGTCCATGACCGGGCACGTGGAGGAGGTTCTTCATCTCGGGTACCAAACCTTTTAGTTTATCTGCAGCAGTGCCTGAGGATCGTCTTCGTCCTTCCAGTTGGTCCTCCAGGCAAATGACGCACTCATCCATCGTAAGCTCCCAATTCTCGTCGTTATCAGCATCACGGTGGGGGAATCGCTTGAAAAAGCCGTCGATGGTATTCTCGGTAAGCGTAGAACCGAGAGACTCGAGCATAGTTGTGAGCTCGATTCTGCTGATGCGACCACTCTCATCGGCATCATATTGCCGAAGCATGGCTCGCCAGAACTGTTGCCGGAGGGCATCATATGGCATGTACTTCGCGCGGAGGTATAGAACGGGGTTGTGCTTCTTCTCCCACTTTTCGGTGTTCTTCATCTTCAGAGGAACGTTATACTCATAAAAGTCGGCATCTCCGCTGTCCTGGTTGGCCGAGTCAGGATCAGAACCAGTATTGGCGAGGACATCCGCCGGTGCCAGCTTGTTAGGATCGGGTGCTGAGGTGGGAGCAGGGGCGGGAGTCGCTGATGCCATGCTCGTGTTGGAGGCGTGCTTGCTCAGTGGAGGACGAATCATCTTGCTGATACTGGAGGAAGAGTTGGATCGTGACATGGCGAGCTTCTTGAATCGCGATCGCGAAGGAAGCGGTTCGGCCTGTGCAGGGGCTTGGAGATCATAGAGTCCGGTTTCGGGGTTTGCTTTGGGGGCTCTCTCGATCAATTGGTGGATTGGAAGATCGCACGAAGCAATGAAATCGTTGCCGGAGTATTTATCGTGGTCGATGACAGTAAAAGCGAAAGAGTATTGCTGCTCGTGACTTTGGATATGAAACAGCATCTTCTCATTATAAACAGGGTTGAGGTCATGACGAATGCGTCGAGTTCGGTATGTCTTCTTGCCGAGGGATGCCACGACGAAAGGGTCCATATCGAAGCTTGTGCGTGTAAGGTTGGATTCGGGAGGCAGGTCTGTGATCTTGATGACCTCAAGGTAGATGATTCCAACAACGTCAGAGCCACTGCTGGCAAAGGCATAAGGGTTGTTGCGTCTCCTCTTCTTCAGTCCTCGAATTCGAAGTCGGCGCTTGCGCTTGGTAGCATCTTGTTCACCTTCATCCTCATCACCCTCGTCGGAGTCGTCTTCGTCGAAATCGTCCTCGTCGTCGTCACTAGGACTATCCTGAGGGTTGGGGGCGGATTGGGAACCTGTGGGGGCCAGGTTCGGTGTCATCGAGGGTGTTACGTTTCGAGAGCCAGCGGGGGCGGTTCCTACAAGGGCTTGGAACTTTTCGAGGATTTGCTGTGGTGTCGCTGACGGGTTCGTCGAGTCGAAGAGGGAAAACTGTAACTGGACCTCACCAGAGACAACACTCGTCTTCTTGCCGGGACGCTTGCTCTTGAGACGATACCAGGTAGGTTCCTGTTCCACCTTGTCGTTGTTGAAGATCTCTTCGAGAGCGAGATCGAATTCGCCCATGTAATCTTTTCCGAAGCGGTCCTTGTCCCAGCAGATGACATCCAGGACCAAGTTCTGGACAGATGTGAGGGGAATTTCCTCGGTGACGTTCCATTCGGGGTTGAGTGTCTTCGGGACATCGTTGGTTACGATTCGAGAGTCGCCGCTAGAAAGAACGAGGTACTGAAGATTAACTGTCAGCATTTGGTTGGGGATATGGTGTCAAGAGAGGGACTTACAGGATCGGATGTGCCGCTTCGATCCTTGGCTGCAAGGTCTTTTCCCTAGCAAGATGTTAGCAGAAGTCTGATGGAATGAATTTACCCTCGGGTGTTCTCTCGCTGCATTGCTGCTGCGTCGAGTTGAGCGGGCAGAGAAGCGATGATGGCGGGAGAGACCTGCAGCCAGCCCGTATAAGAGGGCGTGGAGTACATAAGTACCAAGGGACAATCGATACATACCTTTATAATATAAACTCTAAGGGCCAGGCCATTTCCAGCGTCCCTCGAAGGGCTCGTGCTATCATTTTTCGAGCGCATGGGAGGACTGTTGCTGCGGTTGTTTTTGGTTCTTCCGTTGGTGTTGCTGACGGAGTGTATGGTTGTGGAGGAAGAAGAGGAGGATCGAGAGGTCGATTTGAGTCGTGTTGGGATGATGCGCACCATGACGAAGAAAGGGCCTTGGCTTGGCCGGACTGGGGCTTCAACAGCTGGAGCTCCCTGTCACACACAGCACTACAGTCTCAGAAGTTATGGAGGGTGATAGATCGATCGACAGCGGGGGGTGCTGGAGCTGTACAGCAGGTAAGCACCTGGGCTGGAAGGGTGTGGTGCGTCCAGGCGTCTCAGGCGCTCAGCTCAGGCGGATTTCCAGGCGATGACACCCACAAAGTGTCCTGCAATAGGTGTCCCAGGGGTGAGGGCCAAGGTTGATTCCGCTTGTAGCTTTGGGGGGTGCAGACCGTCGTGGGATTGGTGGGGATGCTTGGTAGGGCGGGGAACGAACAACCAAAAGTGACGTAGTGAAAATCAGGAACAGATTTGCCCTATTTCAACCTGTTGTCTTGAGTATCCCTCTCAAGTTAACCTGTTGATGTTGTAAGAATTTTAAGAGTGTTGTCGCCCGTTTCAGCTCGAAATGACTTTAGGGTTGGAGCTTATTATCGCCGTTTTATCGTTTAGGATATGTACGGTTTGCTCGCTTCCACAGATTCAGCTCAGCTCAGCTCAGCTCTCAAGTAGAAAATGGTTGGTAGCATGAATGAAACCCGTTCTCGACCCCTTTTTTTTAATGGTGTTATAAGTCGTCGTGTCGGCTCGTGGCTTAGATTGGCTGCTTCATTCGATATACGCCGTGACCATTCCCGCTGTATTTTTTTTTTTCTTTCCTCTCCTTTCTTTTCTTTTCGCTCTACTGCTCTTCAATGATTGCTCAGCTCGTACTCCCAGCTTCGTTCTCTGACGACTGCCCAGGCCAAGCCACGGCCAAGCCCCGGTATCAAGTGTCAGCGCCGTCTGAGCCGTGAATGTGGGACAAGGAACGCGAGAAGATCCGTCTGTGATCGGTCGGTGGAGTACTTTGATGAAAGTATATTGGTTGATGGTGGGAGAGACAGAAGTGAGTTTGTTGATGGTTGAGCGTAGAGGCACGTGAGGCAGAATATAAAGAGAAATAACAAGGGGAGAAATGATTCAAATTAGATCCAGCTCGGTAATAAAAGAGACGAGACGAGACGAGAAGTTGAATTAAACAAGATGAGGTACGAGAACTCGGGACGGATCGTGATACTAAATCAAGTATCATCCATGGAGAAAACAATTGGGCTTCCCCTGGTTGGCTCGTTTTTTTCTTCTTCTTCTAATCTCGTCTTATGTCTCGCACAACAGGTAGAACTCAGGAGAAAGAAGAACGAGAAAAGAAACAAAACAGAAAAGGCCGAAAAGGGGAAATGACCCTTGTTTTAATGCTATACAGTCGAGAATAAGCTCACTCCTTGTGTTTATTCTGCTCAGGGCAGCTTTCCTTCACAATGTCTACCTACCTCCACTAGGACCTCCAAATAAGTCAGGCCTGTGTGTCCCTTAGCCTCTAGACTCCAGATTCCAGGACTAGGCCACTAGAGCCATCCATGAATAGTGTTGGGGCGCCTTTTTTGCCGTGCCGATTCCGTGACTGGGGGACACGTATTCGACCATCTCTCGACCTAGTTGACTAAATGAATAAACCCGAATTTGATTGAGCTAATAAAAGGTACCTTGCCTTGAGTTGTCTCGTCTCGTGTTTTTTGGCTGAAGCGAAACAGAAGAAAATGCCTCTCATTGTTGTTTTTAACCTGGCAGAAGGCTACTGTATCTTACTTTGCCTCATCCGCTATTGTTTAGCCTCTTTTTCAGAGCTTCGTAAGTACATACGAGAGAGTTCTACTGGTCAGGGTAGTCTACCTCGCCCCAAGGTTACATATGCCCTCGTGTTAAATTCCTTCCATGACATGCATCCAAATCCCCTCGACTCGGTTCCTTTCAGAATAGGCAACTCGGTCTCGACTCTTGGCTCCAGTATTAATGGTGCCGATTGTCCGTGAACCTGCCAGATCCGAGTGATCATGGCTTGGCCTTGATACACTATCATGAGAGGCTCCCAATGTTTGAATTGTCGATCAAGATTAATATGAGGTACTTTAACAACTCTGCCACCGACAAGAGGCATACAGTAGGTTCACAGCATAACTAAGTCTGGGCCCTGGCTTATTATGTATGTCGGAGGCTAAACCAACAACGGAACATCCACCAATTTATTTCCATCACCGCTCAGATACGGACAATTAATCTCTCTTGTTCCTCCGTCACCGCTTCTTTTCTTCTTTTGGTCGTATTCTATTTCTTTGCATGTGATCAAGACCATCAATCATGCGTAGTAATCAATCATACTCCCCTCTTGGCCTCTGCCCTAAGACCGAAATACCCTTCTCGATTTGGTCATATTCTTCGAGCTCTGTGAGATACATTATAATAAAGGCGTCCCTCTAAATTCCAGGTAGGCATGTATATCAATTTCCCAACCTAAGGTAACTTGAACCTCCAGTCAGCACTCAACATTCAATTCCTTTTAGCAATAAGCAGCACAAGTCATCCCGACGTCACTGGAATGGTTCAAGCCCGCACTCATTTAACAAACTCCAGACCCTTGTCTCTATTCTAATTGTCCCCCAGGGCTGAGATCCTGAGACAACGCCACAAGCCACCAAACCCCTCTCCTCATCCGCCCTCAGTTCAATGTCACGTCCAGCTCCCATCTTCCACTGCTAGGATCAGTTCTATCAAAATGCGTCGATATCTCTCATGACGTCGCGACTATTTTTCTGAAATGGTTCTAAGCCATTCCGTCTCCAGTTGGGTCAGCTGTGGTCTCCGAAGCTTCCGAACGCCTCAGTTGAAGCTCTCACTACCTGACGTTTCGCATTGGTATCTGCAAACTGGATCATGGTCTCAGTTGACCACCCTACTAAGACTAACTCAACACTTTCCCGCCATTCATATGTTACCTATGAGGTTGTGGACATGCATGTGAAAGGTTCAGCAGATAAAAGGCATCATATCCTTCTGCAACGCTACGCTATGATCCCTTCAACCAAGGCATGTATCCTTCACTCCATGCCATCCAACGTGTGCCCCAAGTCCACATCTCTTTTGACCGCCCAACTCCTACCTATGCATTTCTCATATCACATCAATGCGGTCAACTCAATACAAATATATAAATAAGAGAAGGAACAAATAGGACAGGGTCCTTCATGAACGCCAGACTCTCAAACAGCTGGGCACGACCTCGCAGATGCCCCCCTTTCTAGTTGTTTTAAAACGTTCACGGCATCTGCAAAAAGAATGTTTCCTCCGCCCAGACAATCGTTTTCCAACGCCTCCTTCACAAGACTTACAACCTTTTGAGCCCCATTGCGGTGATTCTGAGCTTGCAACTCGGATGGCTCCAGATCCGCAACTGTCAATATCCACTGCTTTGCGGCTTTTGGCAAAATTTTGGTATTGTCCTTGTCCTGTTTATCCTCAATACCAAAGGCCCAACAGATCAACGAGCAAACGTAAACACCCCAGTAGTCCGAAATATCTGTCCAATGTATTGTTTGTTGCTGGTTGGATTTTCCTTTTCTGTCATCTCCCTGATCGGATGAAGCTTTGAGGTTAAGGAAGATGTTCAAAGCACGGGCAGCAAAAACAGTGGCGATTGCAGATGTGCTAGATTTACACCATTCGCCCAGTAATCTCTGGTGTTCCACAAAGATATTAAGGTCCGTCACCTTCTTGTTGAAGACCCAGCTCTGCCCAGATACTGATAATAGGTAGTAAAGAGGTGTGTAGTGAAGAGCCAGGTAGGTACTAGCAACTGCCGAGTCAGGAAATGCTCTTAACATAAGCATTCTCTCCCACTCAAAGTTCAGTGCACCCTCCATCAGGCCAACGTGTGCTGAGTTCTGACGACGCGAAATGAATAATGAGCATGCTGCAAGCAAGATTGCCGCGTCAAAGGCAGGCAGAGATGCTACATCAGTGGCAGAGAGCATCCTCATGTTGATGCTTGAGATGGGTTTCGGGTCCTTTCTTGTCCGTAGTCTTGTCCATGTTTGAGGATCATGCGCTTCCCAGGGTTTTGTTGTTGTTGCTGTAAGTGGAATAGGAAGAGTGTCTGGAGCAGTGTAGTCAAGACCAATGGCGGAAACATACGGTCGTTGATGATACCGTGAACTGTGGACATCCAGGAGGAAGCAGGCAGCCAGCAGTCGTCGTTGAGTTTCTGCAGCAACCCAGCTCTTCCAAGCCGACTGACCTCGGGGCGAAGAGCGAGAAGATTCATGGTGATGATTAAAAACCTATCGGGAGTTGAGCCAGGTATTCGAGGGGGGTATGAGGTCGAAAAGAAAGACATGATATTCAGAGGTTTTCCAATAGAAGAGAAAGATAAAGAATAGAAGAAGGGAAAGAAGAAGAAGAAGAAGAAGAAGAAGAAGAAGAAAACGGAAGAAAGAAAGAAAGAAAGAAAGAAAGGAATAATCAAGAGAAATCACGCGGACTAACCCTGTGGTAAAGTGCAGTGAACCGAGCAGAGGGCTGATGTGAGTGTGGCTTTCTACCACGAAACCGAGCATAATACTCGCAAAGTGCAATAGTTTGCTGTACTGGCATTGACCACTTTTCAGCTTGTGTAAACTAAGTGTATCAGCACCGGTCGACTGTCGACTGCTCCTTTGGCGAGCTCCTGTTCTCTCAACTCACCACTTTTGACTTTTGCCAGGCGTGTGCATGAAGCTGAGCTCCCTTCATGCGGTCGTCTGCGTTAGGGATGTATTGTGTCGCCAGAGCAGCCATGGCGCATTGAAGGACCTGTACATGCTCTGTCTCCTCCTCGGGTACATCCTCATAAGTGTGCTTATGGATGATGGGGTTCTTGGGGTGGACATGCTCCCAATAGGTTTCTAAGTATGTCGGAATTGAGTCTCTCGTCGCTGCAGGGAGAGATAGGGGCATCAGATCAGGAGTACTCAATAAGCTGCCATCTGAAGGCCCAGAGCTACATGCCCCCAATCCGAAAACTCCATCTGATGTTGGCAGCGAGGAGACAGCTAATAAAGTCTCAGATTGAGCGACAGCTAATGAAGGGGACATGCTACGAACTGCAGGAATAGGGATCTGATTGGTAGTGCTGAAAGAAGGGCCTTCGGAGTATCCAGGTAATGCAAGATCCATATCACCAAAGACAGACGGATATGCTTGTGGTGGAGTATCGGTATATGAATACGAGCCAGGGTATGTGTTGCTGTCCAGACTGGCAGTGATGTCATTTGCAGTCGTTGGGTAAGCTGGAGTCGCGGTCATCCAAGACCCGTTCGTTGTTGGCACGGAGAATTGTGAGCGCCTTGTGTTATCTGGGGGAGTCGAGAATGTACTTGTAGGAGCTGATGAAGACATTGAGCTTTCAGGCCAGCCTAGATCCGGGGGTGCTTCCTCAGGGATGGATGCTATTATGGACATGCCGGACATGTTTCTTGGTTCCGAATAGCTTGCTACAAAACTGTCGTTCGTTGGTAGTGTATGGAGCACATAGTTGTTTGGCCCGATGGGGTAGTTATCTGAGGAATTGTTCACGGTTGGCGGCGGATTGTAGGCCTGATGAGGAGCAGATGTCGATGCCACTGATGGCCATGAACCAGCCATATTCGAGCTGCTGTTTGCGGTTACTGCTCGAGGGTGTCTATAGACTTCAGGCATTTTGAGTCCTGGTTCTGGCGCAGAGTCTGCAGGGGGCAAGCTAGGTGTTTTCGGGCTACCTTGACGGCTATGTTTCGGGTCTCTAACATCTTGACCATCTTGCTCACTACTCTTGTTAGCCTCGAAGCCCTCCAGGTGTCACTATCCCAACGTACTGTCTTTGAACATGACGGTCGAGGAGGTCCTTGCGATGGAAAGTCTTATTACAGTTTTCGACCGGGCAGAATAAATCAGGAGCTGAGTGACTGAGCTGATGACGTCTGTATCCCATTGTTAGAAACACCTCTTCGCTTTGCGGAAGATCACAAACCTCAAGTGCTCTGCTCTAGAGAAGGTCTGGGAAAGTTAGATGTGAAGATCGTAGAGAAAGAAGAAATATACCTTGGGGCACTGGTTGCATGTGTGAACCGGAACACCTTTCTTCGCCTTGCTTATCTTTCTGGTTATAGGAGTCAACTTGACGTGTGCCTCTCCAGTGGCTGCTCCAGTGGTGAAGGGCCTCATGGGAGTGTGCGATGATGGGCCAGGCTGGTAGGAGAACTCGTTGGAGTCAACACTTGCGTTGCTACGGCGTCGGCTAGTCATGTTGATATTGGGCTTTGGTGATGATGTGTGATCATCGAGAGAAGATGTCATGGATGAAACAGGAATATCAGACCTGTTGTTATGGGAGGAAGAGGGTGGTGGATGTTTTAATGTAGTAGCATGGCTGTGGGTAGAGGGTGGCCTTGAAGTCAATCCGACGGAACGGGTTCCGGGACTTGAATCGACGTGTTCGTCGTCGGTATTCATGATATTCTTGAGACTAGCCATGGCCCAGAGTTGATAACAGAAGCACAAATCAAAAGAGGCAGTGAGTCCGGAGAATTGTAGATGGACAAGCCAAACTTAGGAAGACACAGCCCCCAGGGAGGCGTATGAACAAGTCCCGGCAGATGGGACGTTTTAGGCTCATGTAAAGAAGGTGGGCGATGAGGGTATAGAACAGCAAGCGGGAGTAATAGTGGGGGAGTTGGTGTAGAATTCGAGCAAGATCACAGACGGGAAGAGGTACAGACGGCTAAGGCTGGCGAACAGAGCGAGCCTAGTGTTTAGCAGGGATGCAGATGTAAATATGGGGCTCAGTGCAAGTGAGATATTTACTCTTGGTTCAAAGATAGGAACCAGGAGAGGCATTGCTGGGTTAGACCTGGGCAGGATTATTTGAGAGAGTGTTAGAACATGGATGCAAGGGGATGTCGATGTGATTGACCCAAGGTTGAAGACAACCCTGCGAGCTGAGTATGGGGCGCAGGACAGGGGAGTTGATGCATGGATTGAAACATGGATATGGACAAGATTAGATGCTTTGAAGGAGGTGAGGTGGAGGGGAAACAAGAGATGCACCTGATGCAAGGCACTTGTCTGCCTCTTGATTACTGTACGTAGTGTTTAAAGCGTCCTCGACACCAAAAGGTTGCGACATGGGGAGTCCATCCCATTGTTTGGTTTGGTTTGTCCATGTGCCACCCTCTCACATCGACCCTTGTCGCATGCTTGCCGCTCCCTGTTCGTCGAGAATGCGACAAGTGGCGGGACGGGGCCGCAAGCGCCATCTAAGCCTTCAAGGAACGGTACCTGATCGAGCAACTAGCGCGCCCAGGTGTGGTACCGTACCAAAAAGACACTATTCACCCCCGACCGATCCGATGGCTTGCGGGTGGTAGCTCGCGCTTAGACGTAGTTGGCGCAGACCTATCCAATGCTTTTTGAAGAGAGACAGAATGGCGGCGATGATCAGTAAGAATGGTTGTATTGAGAAAAGGGAAAATGTTGCACATGAAGAATCCAAAAATACCAGCACGGAATAGCAGCACAGAGGCGTAGAAATTCGAACTGGTGCTAGGGGATGCTCGGGCACTAGGGTTAAAATTGATTTTGGAGCTCCAGTTTCACAGGAAGCTAAAGCAATGCATCTGCATCTGTATCTGGGCACTGAGACATCGTGGGCACGAGCGTGGGCGTGGTCGGGCGGGTATGGCGTCAAGGCGCCTG